AGTTAAGCAGAAAATCAGTTAATTGTCAGGTAACGTTCCTCTGACAAATTTTTTTATAGATTTTAAATCACATTAAAATAGCAAGTGGTAAATCTCAGGCCTGAAGAGAAATGTAAAATAAAAACAGGGCATGGATTTAAAGGAAAGAAATTCAAAAGGCAATTATAAAGCCAAATTAGCTTTCTAATTATTTTTTAAAAATTGAGATTTCAGGGAAAGTTAATATTTTAAAGCAAATCTAATTTTCTCCCAAAGAGCATTAGAGAAGTCCAGTGATTTCAGCCTCTGTCCTCTGTGGAAGGCCCACTGGGAAGCATCCAGTGTCTCATTGTCATCACTCAGATATTCGATGCACACACTCTTTGTGTTCATCCTGCACCCCTTAGCCATCTGCCACGTTTTCTGGAGAGCCTCCTAACACCTCTAGGTTAAACCATATGGTCATAAAGCCTGTCACTGTGTTATAGTTAAGGTCTGGTTGTTGTTGTTGTTTTTAAACAGAAATGCACTTGACCACTCCTACTTCTTTAAAAGCTTGATCCTAATCTTGTAACCGAGTCTGGTAATAAATCAGCACTGAGTGTGCGTCTACTTAAAGTATCTGATGATAGATGTGTTGAAGTGGCCAAATTTTCTCATCATTTTGCCAAATTCTATCTTAAATGGCTTTTGAGCCTGTTGTTAATGTTGTCAGTCTTTGACTTTGTCACCTCCAAAGCCTTTTCCTTCAAGTTTTCTCAACCACCCACTCCTGTGGTTACGTCTTTGGCTTTGTCATCATAAAAACTGCACCACTCTGAAGTCTTGACTTCGGGCACCCCATGTCTACCTCGCCAATTCTAGTGCTACCACTCAGCAACTCCTCCTTCTTACCGAGACCTTCAGTGCAGTGATGGTTCCACTTTCCCACTACGCATCTCCGCCCTCATATCTCCACTCCCCTCCTTAACCAGCTTAGAGTCCATGCCCTAAATAATTAAGTCTGATGAAAGCACTGTAGTTCCATAGCTCCCCTCAGACTTATCTGCAAAGCTCTATCCCTGATAAATTCTACTGTCTTCTTACTCTACACATGTACCTAAACATTTGATGAAAAAATCCACCAGGATTTTGGTATCATTTTAAAACTATGGTCATAAATCTCAAATGTACTAAGCCCTACTCAGCAATCCTCCTCTGCTGCTCTAATTCTTTCCCAAATTATCTTAGAACGTCTTCCTGCTCTCTCCCAGATATCCCCCCAGCATCGACATGCTGCAGCATCTCTTACCTTAAAAACAAGTACCCTACCTGGTGTCCGCCTCATCCTCTGGCTACTGCCTCGTATTTCTCCATTTCACCTTTTCCTCTTTCTCTCCTCAATCCACCCTCTTTGGATTGTTGTCCCAATCACTCTGATGCATCTGTTCTTGCAAAGGTCACTGGTAGACTCTGCTGCTGAATTCAATCATCTCTACCTGTCGTATCTTATTTGACCTCCCAGGAGCAATTAAGACAGTAGATACAACTGAAACTCCTTCTTCCATCACATTCTTTCTTTCCCAGGTTTTGGAGATATCTTGGTCTCTTGCTGACCTCCAAATGTTGGAGTGCCCATAGTTTAGTGCTCTTCTCTTTTGCAATTTATTCCTAAGGCAATCCCCTCCGGTCATCTATAATTTCATATGACCATAGTCCCAGCATCACCCACAAAATCTAGACTATTTACTTGACATGACACATCAGCACATTATCAACTCTATCTTCAAGAACACCTAGGATGTGCCACATTCCCTCCATTTCCCTTGTTGCCACACCAATCTGAGCAACTATGTTTACTTGTCTAGACTATTGCAGTGGCCACCTAATTGGCCGGTAGGGTTCCTCTCCTGCCTCCCTACAGCAGCCAGAGTGACCTTTTAAAAATGAAACAGGACCACAGCCATTTTTCTGCTTCTATTTCTCCAGTGGATTTTTATTATAGTCAGAATAAAATAAAAGCTCTTCTCCTGGCTCACAAAGTATTCTAAGCTCTGACTTCAGAAATCTCTTGATCTCATATCATATCACCCTCCACTACCCCACAGGATTCCAGCCACACTGGCCCCATTTCTGTCCCTGGAACATGGCGAGCTCATTCCTGCCTGTGGGTGTTGGCCCTGGCCCCTCCCTCTCCCTAGAATATTTTCTCCTCTTTACATTGCTGGCAACTTCTTGTCATTAAGATCTGAGTTTAAATGTTTCTATAAGTAACTATTTGTCTCAAATCTGTGCAGCACTTTTTGCCACTCACCTGCATGCAATCTCTCATGGGAAAACACACAACCAGGGAACATGTATTCAACATTACTTCTGAAGTTTTTGTTCTTAACTTGGTAAGAGCTCTTTATGAGATGATGTATTAGAACCTGTTTATATAATTCCTTGTGAAAATAATTTTAAAATATGACCGGTTTCACCAATAATACATTGATGAAGAAATGCTTCAGAAACGAGAGGAAGTAGATGAGCATGAGTTGGGGGAGCGCTGGTATTGAGAGCGGTGTACGTGTACCCCAGGCTGGTATCCCTGGCCTAGTAAATGCTAGTAGCAACCCCTCCTGCCCATCACTGTGCCAGCCACAAATGCCCACATATTTCCAACCATCCCCTGGAGTACTCGAAAATTAATGAATGGCAGAGCCATTATCTTTGCTGCTTTCTATTTTACACCAAATGTAGCTTCAGTATGAAATTGGCTTAAGAGACCATTTACACAGCACTTTTACCCACAATATTTTTGTGTTATGTTAACAGCCTTTTAGCTTAAAGCCTTTGTGCCTTGCAAGATAATTCTGGAACACAATATGTGTGCTAAGTGAGGGACAGATGTTCAGGATTCTCTCCTGACTGAGTGGAACTAGAGAGAGGGGTCCTTCGACAAGCAGTTTGGAGACAAAGTGCCACATCAAGGTCCAACGGTATCATTACGGCAGCGGGGGTCATTATCCTCTTCCTGCTTGCGTATAAGAGCACAAGTGAAATTAAGGAATCCCTACATTTTTCTTGAAAAAGGAAGTCAAGTAAATTTCCTTAACAATGACTAGGAAGATGTTATCCTAGTGATATTATACTTTGGAAGGACACTGTGATTGACCCATTGTGGTAAATAGCTTCCAAAATGGCCCCCAGTGATTCCTGCCTCCTGGTACTGCACTTTTGGTAATCCGCTTTCCTTGTGTGTGTGGGTTGGACCTAGTGGCGGCTTTCTAATGAACAGAAGATGGGGAAATGATAGAATGTCACTTCGGGATCAGTTAAAAAGCTGTGACGTCTATCTTGCTCCTTCCCTCTCTGGCTCTCTGTGTGCTCACTCTCAGGAAGCAACAAGCTGCCACGCTGTGCGCTCCGCTGTGGAAAGGCCCCCTGGGCCAGGAACCAGGGCCGCCAGCAGCCATGAGAACCGAAACCCTGGTCCCACAGCCAAATGAGTGAGCTTCAAAATGACTCTTTTCCTGGGCAACACCATAGTTACAGCCTGGGAGGGACCCTGTGGCAGAAGAACCAACTAAACCACACCTGGACTCATAGCTCATTGAAATTGTGAGGTTGAGAACATTTGTTGTTTCCAGTAACTAAGTTTTGGGGTGATTTGTTACACAACTTTAGATAACTCATATCTCCCAGTCTGCTCTAAACTACAGAAAGTACTCACCTGTGGTATGTATGAGTCATGTTTTAAAATCTTCAAAACTGAAAAACACATAGATTTGTATATTTGAATAAGGACAGGGCAGAGTGCAACGTGTCAGAACATTTCTAGGAAAAATAATAATTATTAAAAAAAAAAACAACCACAGCCCTGGCTGGTTTGGCTCAGCGGTTAGAGTGTCAGCCTGCAGACCAGAGTCCCAGGTTTGGTTCCCGCTAATGGCACACACCTCGGTTGCAGTTTGTCCCTGGCCCCGTTGGGGTCATGTGGGTGGAAACCACTCAATGTGTCTCTCTCACATAAATGTTTCTCTCTCTCTCTTTCTCCCTCTGTCCCTCCCGCTCTATCTAAGGATAAATGCAAAAATGTCCTCGGGTGAGGATAAAAGAAACAAAAACAACCACCACCACAAAACATTATTTTTTGTAGGATGGCACAGAAGAGAGAATATCTTTAGGCACAAGTTGTGTATTCAGATCACTGGATATTTGTATACATACATTTGAACAAATTATATTATATAATTTCTCTGGGATTCAGTGTTTTCATAAAAATGAGAGTGATGGGATGGGCAAGACTGCAAGCACTGTGGACGTTCCATGACCCTGTGACTTGAGAAACTCAGGAAGGCCCCGCCCCCAAATCTTTTTCTCATCAGTTGGAAACTCCATTATTAGGAATTTGTTCCTTAGTACTTCTAGGGACTGTCCCGAAATTACAACTCAAGGGGAGACATTTTGATGGCGAGATGGAGAGAAAATTCTATATATACCTTTAAGAATAGTGAAAAGAAGTTGGGTCTTATGTTGCTATGAAGCAGGTGGGTAGTGGTGGCAACAACAAAGGTAGGTATGGTTGAGTTCACAATTTTGAGGACCTCACAGGCTTCTTTCTTTCTGATAGATGTGATCAAGACAATCACATTTCCCCTCTTACCTTGGGCACAAGGAAGCTTAGAGCAAACTCAAGTTCAGTCACAGCCACTGTGTTAAATTTTATAGTTCCCACATTTGTTTGTACTCTTTGGTCCTGTCCTAATTTTTCTACTGCTCGTTTATCACATGTCTCTTGTTACAAGCCAGCTCAAATCTCTTATGACAAAAGTCAGAGGCATAAATAAATATAATCTACCCAAACATACATGTTTGAGATTTCTTTTCTCTAATTGTGATGATATAAACAGGAGTAGTAAATCTAGATATACACTTCTGTCTTATTTATTTTAAAAAGTTAAGGCTAATTTGGCTTTGGTGGGGGACTAAAGATTTCCATTAGCTGAATAATTGGTAAAATTAGCACAGATTGGAAAAATTAAAGCCAACAGAAACTGCAACAATATTTGTACCGTTTTTATTTGTAAAAATAACCATCTGAATGCATTTCCATAGTATATTACAGTTAAGTACTTCATTACATTATTAGCATTCAGTAGTTGAAAAAGTATTAAACTGTGCTTGAGAAGATTCAGATTGGTTCAAAGTCATTCACTGAACTAAAAGTCATTTTTCTCATTTTTACAGTCATGACATTTACCAGAGTCATTCAACTCAATTTACATAAGAAAACATTACAGACAAAATCCCACTGAAATCATCAAACAATATTTTATGCTGTTACAAATATGTTATGCAAAATATAACACTGGCACCAGATTTGCATCATCGTGCTTTGCAAAGATATATTGCACATGCTAAAGCATAAAATACATAGACAAACTACCCAACAAAAGATATTTGCATTGAGTTTTTAGATCACTGCATAAAAAACGCATAGAATTACATTTTGTACACACACTCAGATTGTCACTATCTTAAAACGCTTTTCCTTATAACACTGACCTATGGTTTACAGTTTTGTAAGAAGAAAGCATTTTAGCACTGCAAAATCAAACATAACTCCTAGAGAAAACTTCGGCATTTTCATTTCCATTTCAAAGCAGGTAAAAGGGAAAATATGAGAAAAGACACTTTATACATTCAAAGAAAGGCTGAAATGAAAATTCACTGGCATTATATTGCTCTGATAACACTCAAATAAAAAAAAAAACATTTCACAGAACATTTTCAGAATATACAAATATAAAAAGGCACTCTAACTTCATACTACAAGACCAAAAAAAAAAAAAAAAAGGATGAGTTCTTCAACCAACACAACAGACAAGCAAACCCAGTTGCTCAACAGTACAAAGAATAGCTAGTGCAGCAAATCCATTTGATGTTCTTGTTCTAATTTAATAATAAAATAATAAATCAAGCAGCTGTTTACTGCCTAAAGTACCAAAACATACTATGGTGCCCTTTTAGTAGTGATACATAGAAATCCCCTGAGCTATTTACTGTAGAATCATAGCAGAGTTTAGGCAATTTGGAGATAGTAATGTATTTACCAAGGATAGGCAGACACTGGCAAACAGGTTAAGTGCAATGAAACATGATCCCTGTGGCTGTGGTTAAAATACAGTCTAAAAATAACACATTTAGGGAAAAGCACTAAACAAGTAAGACTCCATGAAAAGCACAATGTTTTCTGTTGTTGTTTTTTTTCTTTTTCTTAGAAAGCTGCTTTGCAAATCTAATTTTATTTCTCAGAGATGTACTTGAAAAAGACAGAACTCAGAGTTTTGAAAGTCATTTCTTAAAGGAAAAAAAAAAAATGGTCTTGAGGGGAGGGAGAAAGGAAAGGTTGGTTCCGTGCACCGTTCCTAGCAAGCATGCTTTCGTGTCGCTCCTTTGTCCTTCGTTCGCGTGAGCAGGCGAGGCGAATTCACCCGCAGCTCCGCGGAGACGGAGCCGGCTTCCTCGGGCGACAGTCCTTGTTCTCTGTGAGGTTCTACAGCAAACTCAACGCTGCTCCACCACGAAAGCAGGCGTTTCTTCCCCTGCCTCCAACGCCAACTGAGCAAGATTTCCATTCACTTCCATAAAAAGACACCGCAGTAGGTCGGGCTTCTCAGCGTCGGCTCTCTCATTTTCAGTGTTTTGGTAACGAGAAGGTCATTATTACGCATTAGCAATGTATCTACTTTAAAAAAAAACCCAACTCATCTTCTCTAAGCAAACAAAAAATACAGAGGAAGGAGGGGAATTAAAATATAATGTTGGTGGTGCTGAAATTTTCAGTAAAATTAATACCCATTTTATAAGTCCTCTGAACAAGTTCTCATTTGTGAAGAACCCAACGTGAGCTTTTAATTAAATCTGGGATATTAAAAGAGTGAGATTAAAGTCTTTTACATTTAGATGAAAAATATAATACAGTATCTGTGTCTGATCCAAATATGATAGAACACTGTTATAAAAATATCTCACATTCACTACGAAATGGAAATTTCCAGGCTGAAATGGAACCGATTATAAAATGGTCAGACAGTACTCCCCGAATGCAAGGTTTCCTTCCTGTCTCTTCCTCAAGTGGAAAACAGCATGAGCTGGTGATTTGTATTTCTTCTCTTGGTACATGTGCCCACACACTGATACGGTTTCCCATGAGGTTACTGGGACCCACGTGAGATTTCAGTGCATGTAGGATCATCTCTGTACCTTTCTTTAGATCACTTTTGTGCATACAATGCGCTACCTGCTTCGGTTTTCATCTGGCAGAAGAGCTAGGACTCCAATGTCTTGTAAGCTCTAAGCTGGCCACAGACTGGGGCTGAGCGAGGATGCTGTACCCCTCTCCAGTCAATGTGGGAGGTCCCGCGGACGCTGGAAACCTTAGCAGTGGAAATGCTGGCTAGCCCAGGGCGGGCCCTGTGTGTCTTTCTGTTTTTTTGTTATTCCAAGTAAGACACACAGCAATGAAAAGAGAGAACAAAAAAAATATGCTTCCTGGGCATTTGTTTCATTTCAAATAAATATAAACACATTTACATCAAAAGTGTATGAACATTTTCTCTAGTCTGGCAAAAAAATAAGCCGTGGTCAACACATCATCAGTTATAAATGTTAAGCCATCAACTAGAAATCTCTGTCATAAGAAATATAAAATACAACAAAAACTGTTACGCAAAAAGACTACATTTTAACTCCATAGAAAAGCTACTTCAGGTCTCACTTTGAAGAAAAACTGTTTAAATCTTCCATTTTAGACTGAAGTATTTTGGTCCTCATGTACAGCTGGTTGATGAAATGCAGACATAAATGTATACATATATGTGCACATGTGTATGTAAATAATTTTTAAAGAGTCTCATTCTTCCTTTTGCACAGCTCTTCCAGGTGCGGAACGGGGTCCATTTGACCTAGAAGCTTTGGCAGAGGGAGCAGACACAGTATTCACTAGGTTGATTTCATCATCAAGCAACTATCAATTGGCTGTAATTTCCACATCACCCATCTCTACCACCTGCTTTCACTTTCTTTGTTCCCTGCTGCAGTCACACTTTCGTCCACTTGGCATGACCTTGACTGAGACGCTCACTGAACATTTTACTATTGAACAACGCTGATGGTCCTGATGTTTTTAAAAGTTACTATTTTGATTTAAGGACGAATCAATAAAGGGTCGTTTAATATTAAATTTGCATATGTCTCAGTTTTGGTGCAATAGAATTTTCACTTGAAACCTAATTAGACAGATTTGGACTCAATCGCGCGGGGGAAAAGTCACAGGCTTGTGATGGGGAGCAGTGGGTGCCATATTTGTGTTAAATGAAAAAAGTAAGCTCAGTTTTCCATGAATTTTCCCCCTTCATCTGGCAACAAATATCCTCAGAAAGAAGTTCTGGATATTTAAGTGCTTCCTATAGAGAGGACATGAATAATTGGACTCCCTTAAAAAGATTATTACAGGCATTATTTCTGAAGATAAACACTTTTACCTTTGGCTTCTAATGAGAAAGTAAACATTAAAGTGAGAAGAGGTTTGAGGCATTTCCTATCTAGCCTTTCCTTCCCCTTCCTGGGGACATGAATATCACGTGCATATACTTCTGACCACTCACGGCCAAGTGAGTACATGGCAAAAAAACCCCAAAACAAAACAAAAAAAATACAAACTCTTTGTAGGGAACAACAGTTCCAACAGTTCCTTCTTGATGCATTATCCTCAAAGAAAAAGAATTAAATGCATTTTAAAAATCCTTACTTAAAATAAGAGGTAGACTTTCACAGAAATATCTTAGATCTAAGAAAAACATGAAACCAATCAAAATCGGGGCCCATCTGTGTGAATGCTTTGTCCTGGAGCCTAGCCGCCCTCTCTGTTTGATTAATTCCTTCTCTACTGGATTCTGGTAGCTCGGGCCCATAATAATACTTGAACACAACATATACCAGGAATTCAAGCTTCTTTCCCTTTCTCCAACATGCTTGATCAAGGAAAAACTTCTACAGTCCAAAGTCAAAACGTTTCCGAGTCAGAATCATTTTCATTGTACCCATCCTCCGAGCCTACGTTGTTACTGCACAGGCTAACCATGCTACCCAGATTGGAGAGGGTCGTCCTGTTCAAATTGTCTTTTTTAAAACAAACGAAGTTGACAGCCGTCATTGTACTGGAAGGAGAGAAAGGCATCATGGTAGCCAAAATGAGGGCCAGGCAGTCAGCCACGTCTTTGTTAGGAGCGCAAGCCAGGGCCGGGGTGTGACCTGGGCGTAAATGCAGACAAGGCAGTGGTTAGTCTGGGCAACCCAGGGGGCGGAGCATTCCACAGTACATCTCCTACGATCTCACACACGGAGATGTATGTTGAGTTAGAAATCATGCCAGGCAAAAGGAGGAGTTACTTCATGCTAGGGGTGAGGCTACAGAGGACTGGAGGGGGGGACATTTTATGGAGGGTTTGGGGGATTCTTTTTAGCTTACATCACAACAACAAGCACGGTATTAACCCAAAGTTAGGCAGAATTCCAGTCTTCATCTAAGGAACAGAAACACGAAGGGGTGGGTTGGGGGTGGGATGCAATTCCACAGAAAACAGCAACAGGACAACCAGGAAGGTGTTTCCACGGGCGAGCACACACTCACACCATGCGCCTCAGGCTGGGGCCAGAGCACTCTCATTCTGAGAACAATGACTTTCCATCGTAGGTAATCACATGTCCGATTAGAAAAGATACTAAAAATCAGATGTCTGTAAAAGTGAGTCACGCAGCTTTGTCACTTTATGTATATATATTTTATATGAAGTAGACAACAATTAACTGGTTCTAGACAAATGCAATCATTTGAGTAGATCAGACACGGAAGGTACTTGTTGTTTGTAATTAAAAATGTAGTATCATTCAAAAGAAACTTAACAGAACTTTAAAATAGTAATGCTGCTGACCTAAATGGAGCAGATGTGGGAAAACTGCTATGGTTGACACAGAGTCACATCATTCTCCACCATTTAGATTTGATGGGTGCAGTCCAGAAGGGAAAATGATCTCAAAGCATGAAACAGGTGCATGGGGAAAGAGTCACTACCTTATTCCACCTCCATTCTACTGTCCTGAAAGGGTTACCCTGTCCTCTCTGCTGGCCAAAGTTCCTATGACTACTCACTCATTTATTCAGAGGAACTGGCTCAATAAAACAGTTTTTCGTTGTTTTGTTTATCAGCACTTGACCGCATTTCTGCTCCCCGTCCCCTTCATCTGTCTTAACAGATGATTCCTTCTCTGGTATAAAAACAGAAAAGAATGGACAGGTATCTTAACATCCTATTCCATGGACGTCTGTGACAAGTGAAAGAAAAATGATTGTAGTGTTGTCCTAAATCGCCCCAAATGTTCCCAGGTCTTTGGGATGCAGCTAAGCAATGAGACAGCCACAGTTCTACTGGCCACGGTTGTTATTGGCTGGATGAGCCTCAGCTGTATCAGACTTACACCAGAGAAGCAAAACTAATGCAATCTGGTCTCTTTGGTCATCGTGGAGAAGAGCTGGGGGCCTCTACACGCCAACCCCAAGGTTTACAATGGTGATTAGAAGGTGAGGGAAGGTGAGGCAGGAAAACCAAAGAGATGGAGTAACAGAGAACTTTCTGTGCCTCCTAGATGAGTCAGGTTGGGGACAGAGTGGGGAACATGCTAGGGTAAATGGGGCTGCAAAACCAAAACTAACAGGAGTTAGCTAATGATGTCCATATGGCTGCTTACTTCTGAGAAATAGGCATGAGCTGCTAATTCCAATACCTGTAATAAGCAGTTAATTGAGTTATGTTAATACAGTTTGTTATAATACTTTAATTAAATGCCATGATTAATGCCACATTGAAAAATTTTACTTAATTCACAAATATCCAGAAGTCCCTCTTTTTCTCCCCAAGGTTAATAGGCATTACGCTTAAAATGAAAGCTTAATACAATTCTAGTGTTCACAATTTCTTACGGAGTAGAAAGCTTCTATTTGGAGTTGGTTCATTTAGAAAAGGAACGTTAATATAGATCAAGAGAAGTTTCAAGCCTAGACATTAACTTAGAATTTTTATTCACGTTCCTTGAATATCCATACTGGGAGTATGCGTTCTGATCTGTTCTTTAAAAGAGAAAAAAAAAAAGGTTTGATCTCAGAATGAACTGAAATACAGAGACCTGGTTTTTATGTGAGCCCTCGAGCATGCACTAATGATGTGTCATCCCTAACTCTTCAGCGTATGCAGTCAGAATCACGAATACCCAGTTGAAAGCTTTTTAGTGTGTCTAAAATATTTTAACCACCACGCTGAGGAGTTAGACACCAGCTGCTGACATTACATGCAGAATGGAAGGCAGTGGGGGGCCACAGGTAGACTGTGTTTTACAAAGACAGACAGGACAGATTATCCTTGTTTGATTTCTCACACACAGGGAGCTGCCAAGGGGGAGAGAATTGTTACTGCCTTTTTAACTAGCTCCTGTATTTCTCATTTCCTCCAGCGTCACAGCATAGGGAAGGTGACTGTAGTAATCATTTACTTTTTTCACTCACCATTTTCATCGACAGCGAGGACACAGGCCCCTTTGGCCAGCAGCTCTTCCACTACGACCTTCAAGCCATTGCGCGCGGCAACGTGGAGGGGTCTGAAGAAAGAACATGGAACATCAGCTGGGATACGTATTTGTGTGAGCAGGTGTCAATTGGGGAGCCTGTGCTGTTAACGGGGAGCAAGTACTTAAGAATCCATAAATAGTATGTGAAAGTTTTTACTTAAAAAGAAAAAGGGATTTGTTGATCAGATGTTTTCTAAGTGCTAATGACCCAACAGTTCTTCCATGTTTGCCCAGATTTCTCTTCAGCTATTACTCTGCATCGAAAACAACCCCAATGATAGTACAGAGAAAGCCAGAAGAACACAAGCTCTAGTGTGTTTTCTAGAAGGTTCCTTACCCCTTGATTTCCATTCTAGCATTGAATCACTGTTCTACACAGTTCATCAATATGACTGTTTAATATCACCCATAAGTATAATCTCAAACCTCGTTATTACTAAATATTTTACTGACTTTAGAACACCTTAAAGAATGATGTCATCAAGCCCAGTATATTCTGCTATATATTCCATAAGAATATTAATGAAAAAAACCCCAATATTCTTTTACCCTTAAAACAAATACATAATTTCCTAAAATAGAAAATAAAGCAGTTTTTATTTATTTATTATTATTATTTTTGTTAATCCTCAACCAAAGATATGTTTGTTTTCAATTGATTTTAGAGAGAGAGAGGAAGTGGGGAGGGGAAGAGAGAGAGAAACATCAATGTGAGAGAGAAACATCTATTGACTGGGGATCGAACCCAAAACCTAGGTACATGCCCTGACTGGGAATCAAACCTGTGACCTTTTGGTGTATAGGAGGACGCTCCAACCAACTGAGCCACCTGGCCAGGGCTGAAGCAGCTTTTAGATCTTTCACACTCAGGATGACACCAAATTACATTAAAATGTTAAGACAAATAGCTTAGAAACTCTTCAAATATATTCTGGGAACCTAATTTGTAAAACTGTCATTTTCCAGTAAGAATACATAATGCTAATACATTTATACAAATATTTCCCAAATATGTCAGCCCATAAGATTTTCTAACCACCCAGTAAATTTATAATATTACCATAAAAATATCAGCAAAGAAAAACACAGATCTCACAAATTTCTATGAAGGCATTGTAGCACAGAGATTCTAGCTAAAAATGTCTAGCTTGGTCTGCATTTGTAGGTTTGTGACTAAACTTCATGAAGGAGAAGTCAGGACTGTCTTTCAGCACTGTGTTCCCCAGCTCTAGCCTTGCACAAAGCAAGCTCTTAATTTTATTTGTTAAATAAATGACTACTAATTCAGGTCTGAGTCAAACTTGAGTTGTCACACTTACGTCTGCAGTGCATTATTTTTTGCATTAATAAGGCTCTCATCTTGTATCTTGTCAAGTATTAACAAGGCACATTTTTCATGACCCTAATAAAGAAAAAAAAATGATAAGAAACACAGGACAGAGACATTGAAAAGTCCTGGAATAATCACATAATTATGCTTTAAATTTAAAATGAATGCCCTCTGTCTATATACATTTTATAAGGCCATTGTCTGAGTAATTCTTTTTTCTTCTAAAAAGCAAACAGTCAAAGGGCCCTAGATTCTCCAAGATTCGGAATGGGGTTCATTAAGACTTGGTTAATAATAAATCTGATTTGAAATATTTCTAAGATAACTTGTAGAATTAATGTCCAGAGAGCTGAAACAGATACCAGTTCAGCAGGTCAGCTGGTAAACAGAGAGTAGAATTAGAAGTATCCTTCAACATTATTTTTTAAATATAAGTCAAGTTCCATCTTCTTCCTCAAGTCTTCAATTACCAACCACTTCAGTGATCCATATATCCTTGGAATCTGCTTACATCTATCACTCATTATTTACTGCCTTATATTGTAAGAGGATTCTTTTTCAAGAAAACTTATTCATTTCTTCTTCAACCAGGGGAAATGATCTCTGCATCTTATGACAATAGGCAGTTGATAATTTTTCTTGACTAGTCAGAGATGCTTTCAGTCTCAGACCTATGCTCTGTTAAGGGTCACGGCTTCCTGAGCCCCTGTGACCGGCAGCATCAGCATCACCTGGGACTTAGAGATGTTGACTCTCAGACCTACTAAATCAGAAGCTGAATTTTAACAGTATCCTCAGGTGATTCAATGGCACAATAACATTTGACAGGCACTGCACTTATACCGATGAAAACTACATCTTGAAACAAACCTTATGAAAGCGAGCACTTTTTGTGGTTCCCAAGGGCTTCCCAGAACATGAAGTAAGAAAATGCAACCAATGAAAGGAACAGCTGGTACCACTGGTGTAGACAAAACCTTTAATACCATAACTGTATTGAAGTAAACCACCATCACTGGTGTCAAATGGCATCATACTATAATGCCTTGTAAAGGAGACCCTTACATATAATTTTGGAAATGTCCATGGAGGTTTCATTCTGATATACTACTGGTGGAATGTAAATGGTGTGATTTCATTACAGGGTAATTTGGTCTTTAAAATGTTCATGGCCTCAGGCTCAATAATTTCACCTTTAGGAATTTATTTTAAAGAAACAAGGATTCCTAAAAAAAATTCTCCACAGTTAGTATTATTTATAGTAGCTTATATTTGAAAACGAGTAAATGTCTAACCAAGCAGATGGGCTGAATAAACAATGGCACATTTCTAAGGTAGAGAATACCACAAATCTTCTAAAACATTATAAAAGAAAGATATTCATAATGTATGATTCAGTAACAAAAGCAGGTTGTAAACAGTATGATCTCACTTTTGTAAAATCATATATTCATATGTACCATTTATTTTTCACTGAAGCAGGGACCCTGAATTACATGTGAACACAATGCTATTTTTAAAAAAAACAACAAATTCATTCTTTGCATTGAACTAGGCACCGGAAAACAGGGAGAGGGTAGAAATGCACATGAACACATTTATTTGCCACATAGGAGAGTATTACTTGGGCTGTGTTATTATCATGCCTTCAAATGTAAAGAAGTGGAACTGCTTATATTTTAGAAGCCACATATCTAAGGTCCTAACTTGTGTTTAGACACACAGTGTGGGACCACAACCATGGAGACAGATTCAGTGGCGGCATCACGACAGACGGCAGCAAGCACGCAGGTGGAATGCCAGGAGAAGCATCACCTTCACCCGTGTGGGCCTGCCCTCCGCTTTTCCTTCTTTGATTCCGCTTAGAGTTGACAACATCCTGGGGCAATGTACATCTTAATTAAGAGCCATGATGCACACTTTTGAGATAGAATGTATGTGATATTATTATTATTATAATTAACACTAAATAACAGTATTTCAGGTTCCTTATACATACTTTACTACAAGCCAAATGTAAGGGTGTGTTCAAGTCCTTATCCTTTACAGACAGATCAGCCTGGGCACTGTTCACCAGAATATCTATAGGAAAAAACAAAAGAAAGTTACTTAGACTACATGCTAATTACACACATTTTGAAGATGTTACTACAGAAACGATAACATATTTAAATTAGTACAGCTCATATAATCCTATTTAATGTTTTTAACAAAAAAAAGGGAACAATTAATTGCTACATTTGTTCTATCCAAATCTAAGGTGTATAGGCATTAATTTTAACTGTCTTTACAGTTTTATTTCCAGGTAAAATGAATCTATTGTCACATTTGGTTTCTAAATGTCAAGAGATTTCACTGCAGAAAGGTTGGCCCACTTTGATAAAGTCCATCACCAATCCAGTAACGGGACTGCAGACGATGAGCAAGTGGAGTCAGGTGGCTTACATGACGTGTTGGACTTTTCATAGGTATATATCAAGAGAGGAACTGATTTCCTTTTTCTTTTATTTTGTATCCTCCCCCAAGGACATTTTTGCATTTATCTTCAGATAAAGTGGGAGGAAGAGAGGGAGGAAGAGAGAGAGAGAAACATCGACATGAGAGTCATATCAACTGGTTGCCACCCACACGACCCCAACCGGGGCTGGGGACAAACTGCAATCGAAGTACGTGCCCTCAGCAGGAACCGAACCCGGGACTCTCTGGTCCTCGGGCCGACACTCTACACGTTGAGCCAAACCGGCCAGGGCAGAACTGATTTCCTGAGGTTACATGACTTCGGCTTTGGACAGGCTTCAGGGCCAAGTCGGCGCGGCAGGCACATACCCACAGCGCCCGCCTGCCCGTTCTCGGCAGCCATCGTCAGGGCCGTTTTCCCTGCGTCGTCCACTGCGTTCACTTGAGCGCTGTGTCTCAGCAGGAGCTGCAAGCACTCCACGTGGTCAGCAAATGCTGCTGCATGAAGCGGCGTCCTAACAGTTGAAAACAAGTATGAGTTTAGCTTCCTTTAAGCTTAACACACTCTCTTTTTGGAAATGCCAGAGAAACATGTGCAGGGTTTTGTCTTAGGGATTTAAAACACCTCAGTGTACAGAGATAATGATCAGGCCCCCTCTGAAGCACAGTCAGGGTGGGCACTGAAGTGTCACCTATGTGGGGGATATAGGTGGTGGGCCTGACAATGAAATTACCATCTTTATTGACCACTCTAATCTTGAGTCCAGTGACTTTTCTCTCCCCTTTGATAAAGATGTTTTCAAAATTGCACCTTAAATTTGTAGGTAATTGGCCTTTTGTTTGTTTGTTTTTGAAGCCCATATCATCCAATGTAGATAGTTGATTTTTGGGGTGGACAACTTGGCCTTTTAACCAAGTAATTCCACTTCTAGGATTTTACCTCCTTGATACGCTTGGGTCATATGAACAGACACATGAGAACTGCATCACTCTTTGAAAGAGCAAAATATTGGAAACAACCTAAATATTCTTCCACAGAGGGCAAGCTGATTAAATTATAATATATCCATGCAAATGAAAAATATGCAGCTTTTGAAAAGAACATAGTAAATCTCAAGGTTTTAGAATGGGAAGAACTCCAAGATACACTAAAAGCAAAACACTGCTATAGAATGCTTCATTTGCATATAAGGAATATGTATTTTTACATATGCTTGCATTTATGTATAGAAAATATTGGAGAGAATATAAACATTTGGAAAGAACAGTTTTAAGTGGCTTCCTCAGTAGAAGAGGCTGGGCCTTCTGGGCTAAGAGGAAAATTTCTTTTAATTATATACCCTTTATGATATTTAATTTTTAAAAATCATGTTTATATATCACGCTTTCAATTAAAAAAATAAAAAGATGTTTGTGTCTGCAGCCACAAGTACAGTAAGATTCATCAAGAAAAGAGGCATGCCACTTTAGGGTCACTTACCTGCCTTTGTCATCTCTACAATTGACAATACTGGAATCTATGGCCCCAAGGAGCAATGATGCACAGTTCTCATGATCATTTATTCTAAAACAAAAATGGGGTTGAAATTAAAAAATTGTACTACTTAAAAAATATATATGTCCCCTCCTACTCCATCTTCTTTTGCACTGTATATTTAACAAGCTGATGGGTTTTCTTTAATCAGATGCAAATATCTGTGGTCTATGTTCTATTAACATGTTTAATACTTTTTTTTAATTGATTTTTTAAAGAGGGAGGAATGAAGATAGAAACATCAATGTGTGAGAGAGATATCAACCAGCTGCCTCCTGCACGCCCCCTACTGCGGATGGAGCCCACAATCCAGGCCTGTGCCCTGACCGGGAATCGAACCGGGACCTCTCAGTCCATGGCATGATGCTCAATTCACTGAGCTAGGCTTTTACTTTTTAAAAAATATGTTTTTCTTTTTATTGATTTGCTAAAATGTTTAAAGAAGACAATTTAGGTAATTCAAACTTCATTTAACACTTCCAGAAGCAGGCAGTCTCTACTCTAAAGATTTTGGAGAACAGCCTGTTTCAGGAAGTGTTCAAGTTTGTTTGTATCACCTAAATGGTCTTCTTTGATCATTTTCACAGTTTCGGTGATGAGGGCAGGATCTGAAGCTGACTGCTGGAGGCCTGTGGGACGAGAGGCACAGGAAAGGCACTCTCTGGGCTCCGAGGTCACCAAGGGCCATGGGTCAGTCGCTCTTGCACTTGAACTCCACTCCCCTGTGTGCAGCTCTCAGATCTACACACATTTTACCCACGTTTCTTAAAGAAAAGGGGTTTATTCACAGAACTTATATGCATGTATGCATGACCAATGGACATGGACAACTAAGCCGGGGACAGGGTGGAGGGGAGGTGGGGTGGGGGGTGCCAATGGGGTAAAAAGGTAAAATATCTGTAACAAAAAAATAAATAAAAATTCATAAAAAAAAACAAAAAAAACAAAACAAAACAAAAAAACAAACAAAAGAAAAGAAAAGGGGTTTATTAAAGTTCCTAAAAAGGTTCTGGAATCCTGGGAAGGTTCGGGCAGTTATACAAGGACTCCACAGCCGGTGGCAGCTGCTGACAGACTAACGGGGACTTTGAGAAATAAATTAAGACAAGAAATTTGTAACCAACAGCCTATCAAAATCTAAGTGGGCCCAAGTTGGACTATTACAAGCCATTAGGGTGTCTGCCACTATTAAAAAAACTTCTTGTGAGAGAAATAACAGATCTATTGTTAATGGGAATCTTAAAAGTCAAAGCTGAAAAATTGGTGGGCAAGGGTCGAGCACTTAAAAACTGTTAGAGTGCTCGCCACCTAAATCTAAGACTCCTGCTCTAGGATAAGTTGGTCATGGAACAGGTTACATCGACACTAGGTCACCTGCCATCTCAAGAAAATGTCCATTTAAAGAGGTACACTATGAAACACCATAAAATCTCCAACCCAGAGGCACATTCCTCACAGGTAGATATTTGGCTCCAAGAGACTCTAGACTTAGCTTAGAAATAGAGTTCTCTGTTTTCAAAGAATTGAGATTTCCACCTTCCAGCACACCTGATTATTTTATGTCTAAGAACTCTGGTCTTGGAAGCTGTAGATGTCTATAAAGATGGCAAAATCTTACTAAGACAACCTAGAATTGCAATGGCCATTATGGAGACTGCTCCAGTTAGACAAGTGTTCATTTGAAAAGAACATGCATGCCTACCCCATGGACATGGACAACAGTTTGGTGAAGGCCAAGGGAGAGGGAGGCAGGGGTGGGTGGAGGCAGGCAAAGGGTGGGGAAAGGGGCACATCTGCCATTATGTCAAGATTCAAACATTTTAATAAAAAAAAAGTACACTTGAAATTAAGGGTTCTCAAATTAACAAACAGAATGGGATATCTATTTTATCAGTATGCACAAACCTTAAAAAGGCTTCAAGATTCCAAAATAGCTTCATTGAAAGATTCACTGAAAAAGTCTAATAATAAATTAAACATACCAGAGGCGCAAAACAGAAGACTTGTAAGACTGATGTGACTCCTGCTCCTCCACCTCTACCCTCCTTTACCTGAGCGCTCACAGCCCACTAATCCTTGATCTGACTCGCCTCTCCTCTCCAAAGACACTACGAGACCACAAACAACAGTCATCACTGGCCCACAAGTCACTGTCTCACTTGCAATCAACCAGGACACTGGAAAAAAGACTGTTCTTGAAGCTTTTGTGCAAATCTTTCAAACCAACTCAAACACCCCCACATCTACCTTCCAAGGAGGAATCCTATGTGGATCCCTCACAGGGCTGAGGAGACTCTGAGGGATTCTCTAGTAAACTGCTACCAGTTATTCCCTAAATAGCCATGAGGAGACGAAAATTGAAATCAACGGAAAAACCTTGCTAAATTCTGGTAGCTACCAGGGCTACACTCTGCCTTAAAGCCGACTCACTCTGAAGCCTACAGATGGGATCCTGGGAAGACTGGCAGAAGCTGGCAAAAGGTGAGAATTCTTACCACAGCCAGCTCTCCCCAGTCTGTCATGCCCGATCAAGAGAGGAAGGTGAAATTTCAGGTTGTCCCTTCCTTTCCAAATTCTGATGCTTGTGAATTTAGTTTTGAAGTACTCATGGTCTATCGATCATTTTTTTTCCCTCAGGGAAGATATTGCTGCTTTAATCTTTTTTTATTTAACAACTTGTTTTTATTATTGAGATATAATTATAATTATATTATGATTTGATATTTATATAAATTGCAAAACAATCACCATATTCAGTGTAGTTAATATCCATCACCACAAGTAGTTACACTTTTTTTTCTTGTGTTGAGGAATTATGAAATTTACTCTTAGCAACTTACAAATTCCAGTACAGTGTTGTTAACTGTAGTCATCATTGTATATTAGCTGCTGCCTTCTGGTTTGTCCTTGTCCTTCTTTCTTTTGGTTGTCTTTGGGAGAGGCTGTGGATCTGGGCAGGGTAGAAGCTTTCACACCCTTTTTGGGGACAACCCTGACACCCAAGGGGTTCAATATAGCCAGGAATATTCAGTTTGTCTCAGTTGAAAACTTGACATGATATTTGAAGGGGTTTTTTCTTTTCAATAAGTAGCTCTATGGTCAGAAATCAGTCAAATTGGAAGCTGATATTCAGAGTGTGATAGGAACATTTTTTTAGGACTTATCCCCTAAGCTAAATTGAAACCATGTACCCATGGGGGAAGTGGCGGGTTTCAAAGACAAACAGCTCAAAATTTAGAACACAGAAATGTTTTGATTTCTATCTTGGTTAAAGGTCTTCCTAACATAAAGAAGCAAATTGAAGTAATGTCGTTGGATGATAGCCCCTTGATATCATTCAGGTTGCAGCCCAGTTCTTTTAGGAATTAAAAAAAACACTGACCTTGCCTTACAAACCAAGTTTTGTTTTGTTTTTTGTTTGTTTTTTATCCTCACCCGAGGACATTTTTCCATTTTTTTTGTTCAGATAGAGCGGGAGGGAGAGAGAGAAAGAGAGAAACATCGATGTGAAAGGGACACATCGAGTGGCTGCCACCCGCACGACCAACCAGGGCCGGGGACAAACTGCAACCGAGGTACGTGCCCTTAGCGGGAACTGAACCCGGGTCTCTCTGTACCGCAGGCCGATGCTCCAACCGCTGAGCCAAACTGGCCAGGGCCAAACCAAGTTTTTATAAGAACAGACAAGTCCACTATCCTATTTACCTATCCTGGTATAACGTTATCAGTCATAATTCCAGTTATCATCTTAAAATGTTGTGTGCCACAGAAATAATTAAATTTCCTTGTCAATTCTACTATAATGAACTCTCAGCAGATCTTTAACCAGGGACATTAAATCTTTTGTCATTTTCAGACAGTTATTGTTTTTCCCTGATGCTTTTGCAAAAGTGAGATTCCTGGAAAGGACCCTACCAAATACTCTTGACCACTGACACCCCTGCCAAATTAGAAGCTGTCAAACCTTGGGTGCATAGTTCACAACTGAAGAAGGCTAAACATGATGTCTGGTCCTGTGTAAGTAAACACTGGAGACCTCAAAATCAAACCGACTAGAAAGAGAAGTGGCTGACATCGAGGTATACTGCTTCCTCCCAAGAGCAAGAACTTTCTTTCCATTTCTCCTTCCTTCACTGTCCATCCTTTTTCTGATTTTTACACCATAAAGATCTTATGGTTCTTTTGTCTACCTTTTGCCTTGCCCTGGCCTGGAAAGCCATTGTTCACATATCTCAGGCCATGGCAAAGGTGGGTGATCCAACTTGCAAACAACTGTTGGATTTGCTACAAGCTGTTGATCCTGTAGTGTTGCCTGGCACAAACTTCTTCCTGATTTCTTATGCCTCAGTTTCTCAGGAACAAGCTCTCTGGATAAACACTTCTAGGGGTGTAGAGACGCAGTTACATGAAATACATGAACAGACCAAGTGGCTTAAAGAAGTATTTCCTCTTTAGGATCATTTCTTGACTTATTTGATTCTACCTGGTTTGGTTCATGGGGACCCTGGCTCAGGAGCACCCTGCAAACCTTAGGAATTATTTTACTATTATTAATAATAAGTATCTCCCTAGTCTATTATGTGTTCTCTTAAGGGATTTAGCCATCAGCTCACCAACAAATGGTCTCCCTCTAACTGGAATGATGAACTTGACATAATCTCCTATAAAATATATATCAAGACCCAAAGGGGAAATGGTAACTGAGAATAGCTTGCAATACTATCTTTGATCAAATCTCTTGCTTGACAAAAGGTTGATCGAGGGATGGGGGGTGGGGGGGATGGTCATACTGATCGTACATTAACCTTTCCTTGGTAGGCCAGGCACCACTGATCCTGGGAAATCATGTCAGCAAAACAAAACTTCACTTTCAGATTTCATGTTTTTATAAATGTTCCACCTGCCCAAAAGTTAGACCATTTAGTCACCAATATGTGATCACCCAGTTACATGGGTGACTGTTTCATTCTTATAACTCAAATAAGGCCAGATACGTAACTCCAGCCAGTCAGATACTCTTATTCTTATTCAGTCCTCGTTCTCAGTTCTTTACCTTGGAAAAGCTTCCTGCCTTCTGCCCCACTTTGCAGGCCTCTGAACTCTTGAGAGTGGACACTGCCCATTTCATAAAGTGTTAAATAAAGTTTGTCTGTATCACCTACATTGTCTTCTTTATCATTTTAATAGTTCTAATGGGACACACTCATTTCCTCAGAACTGCTATTTCCAGGAGGAGTCTGCTGTATACCACTTGTACAAAGCATCGTGTTAGGTGTTTTGGGGATACCAGAGTGAAAAAGACATGGTTCCTTCAGATTTAAAATTACTTCTACTCTTTATGCCTCATCCCTTCTTTACTGATCCACTTTGTGCTTTCAATATCTTTGCAATCAAATGACCCAGCTTCATGTGAAGCCCAAAGACAAGGCAAAGACAAAGCACTCCCAAGTCTTAGGTCCCTAAGCTGACTATGGTTGTCTAGGAGACATGGTCCCCCAGGTGAACACAGGCCCCAGGTGACCATGGCCCACCAGGCTGACCATGGACATCTGACTTAAAGTTACGGTGTTCTCTGAACAATGGCTCACACTATGAGATTGGCGCAAAAATTACATTTACAAAAACAAAAAACAAACAACAACAACAAAAGGAGCAAACAAACTTACAACATATGAAGAATAGAGAAATACAATATATAAAAATCCTTCCTGGTATGAAATGTCTTTCTAATCATTCATAGGCATGTTGTTGCGAGCTCCAACTTATTTTAGAATTTGCCTGACAAATGTGAAGGTCATTTGAAGAGCTCAGTCCACTTCTTCATGCAGTTTCCTAAGGCGGTTTGTGCCACGGCATTCCACAAAAACCTCCTGGAACATCATTAACACTGGGGTCCACACTTTGCTATCAGCCCTATCTGCTTTCAGCAGCAAAATGGAATACATTGGTCATATCTGAACTGTGAAAGCCTTATCCCTCCCTAAGACACAATGGCCTTATGGGTTATTAAAAGAATTAAAGTAACACATTAGCTTCCAGCATTTCTACTTACATTGCACAGTGCAGTGGAGTAAAGGGATTGCCAATAAACTTGCGGAAACACTTTTGCTCCAAAAGTACCTCTATACAGTTCTCATTACCTGCAAGGAAGCAAAAAAAAAAAAAAATTAGAAAGTTTCCAAGAAAGAAATTGTTCAACACAATCAATTTCTTGTCATTAAGAACTGAATTCTGGCTTATGAATTCTCCTGAATTGGCTGAATGCTCTTTCTCCATGGATTAAAATTCACAAAATAGCAAAATGTTATTAACTATGCCCACAGGTGTTCCAAGACATAATGAACAAATGAAACAATGAAGGCCATACGGTCTGGTGGAGAGAAAGAGACAGACAAGAGACCTCATTTGCAAGCAGCCTAGATTCTATGTTTTGCTCAGCTCTTGATAGACAGACGTCTAACGTACCTCAGTTTGCCCATATTTACAATAGGAAATTTCCCTTTCACCCACCTGAACAGATTCAGTTATAATTATCTATCTTAGTGAAGGGGAGAAGATGTGATGGACAGAAAACAGTATCTGAGATCATGTAAGTGAAAGGGCTTTGACTGTAACATACTGTGTAAGTGTTTAAAATGGCACCAAGACCAGTTCCTGACAAATAATATGTGCCCAATAAGTATTTAAAAAAATAATAAGCAGAGGAATGAATGTGAGGAATTATTTCCAACAAAATGACAAGTAGTTCCAAATCAACTGAATTTAAGTTAAGTAAGGCCCCAGCTGTTAGCTTGTTACGTGATCTAAGGACTCACTTGGGATTGGTGAATCTCAATTTCTCATATATAAAAATCAGACAAGGAATATTTGCCCTACCGATGTCGCAGGATGAGGGGAGCTCATTTGATAAAGGACCTGCATGTGGTTTGTGAAGTGATGGAAAGCTTTTAAGGCAGAGGGCACAGCTATTTATTTGTCTTTAGAATACGGACTGTTGTCCTGAAACCTCTTAGCTGAACTCAGGGTTAAAGTAATGAGAGTTCTCTCATGATCTACCTTAGAATGATGTAGATCAAACAGTTTTAAGTATTAAAACAACAATCAAACCTTACTTTTACCTATAAAGAGAGAAAGTGAAATTGCTTTTAGGAGGATTAAAACACATATAAAGTGATGAATATAAAAATCCCTTAGCTTTAAGCAAGTTATACAGTTGAGCTTTCCAACCCTATCCAACCCTCACATAAACACTGCAAACCCTCGGTTAGCATGGATCCCTGCGGAGGATTCAGCTGAGGGAAGCATCTACCCACACCATTCCTCGGGATTATATGAATCCAATCTAAGGGTCTGTGTCGACAGGACTGGGGATCCTTGAATGACTTTCGGTATTTCAAAGTGCTCAGTGAAGGGGATTCTGGGAAGCTGGGAGCTTGGACCCTGAACCTAGAAGGCTGCTCAGGAGAGGACTGCTCCTCTTCCCCTGCTGCCCCCACACCCCTCAGGGCAGAGAACGTGGTCTGGTGGGTTCGCTGCCATTACGACCAAAATTCTTGCTGCATCTTCTCCCTCCTGCCCGAGAGATCGCTGAGCTTGACCCAGGTGGGAGTTGGGAAGCCCTCATCCACTAGTAGGTAAAAAATTGCAATTCTGCAGTGGCAGAGAGGGAACAAAACCAAATTGAGCAAGTAGAAAATTAGGCTCTTACGGAGGTCAGAGCCAATGCAAAAAGAGAACTGTAAAGAAAGTGAAATGAAATGTCTTAAATGAGAGCACTCCAAAAATCTTTCTGGACCTAGTGATCATAGCTTCTGAGTGAAAATTTTAATACGAGGATTAAAAATGAAAAAGTAACATTATGGAAGCATAGTTAATATATGGGGAAATACCCATATAAACTTAGGGGTGGGAGACCTTAAGCAAGATATGACACCTAGATCCTATAAAATAAAAATATGAAAAATTCAACGTCACAGAAGTTCAAAATTTCTGCATGGAAAATGACATCATAAACAAGGAACAAAGACAAATGATAAACTGAGAGAAAACATTTACAACACAAAACACACAGAGAGGATTTATATCTCTAAGACAAGGTGTTCCAACAAACGTATGAGAAAACATAAAACTCATTTAAAAAAAAAGTAAGCCCTGACCAGGTTTCCCAGTGGTTAGAGCATCGACCCGCGAATCAGAGTTGTGGGTTCAATTCTGATCAAGGGCACATACCTCAGTTGTGGTTCATCCCCAGCCCTGGTTGGGGTCGTGCGGGAGGGAACCAATTGATGTGTCTCTCTCACATCGATGTTTCTCTTTCTCTCTCTCTTTCTCCCTCCCTACCTCCCTCCCACTCTATCTGAAGATAAATGGAAAAAATATCCGTGGGTGAGAATTTAAAAAAAGTAATAAATTGAAAAGGTAATTTCCAGAAGAGGAAATACAAATAAATAAATAAATACACTATTAGACAGAAAAACACAAACCAAAATAATGAGATAACCTTTTTTGCCCTTCAAATTCACAAAAATGAAAAAGGTAATATCTTGGGCTGGCAAAGGCTTGGGGAAGTAGTAGATTTTACACATGTTTGGTGGAGTAATAAATTACATCTTTTTTGCAAAGTAACATGGTACAATTTATTAAAATAAAAAAAATACATATCCTGCTATCAATAAGTCTGGAAACTTATCTGACAGAATTTAAGGTACATAATACGAAGATACACACTGCAACATTGTTTGTCATAGGAAAAAAAAACCCTGAAAACAATCTGAATGTCTATCAATAGAGACCCAGTTGAATATGCAATAAATTCTGATATACACACACATCTATATCTATTTATCTGCTATGAAATAACTAAGAAGGCCCTGGCCAGTTTGGCTCAGCGGTTAGATCAGCCCATGGGCCAGAGAGACCGGGGTTCGGTTCCCACTAAGGGCACATATCTTGGTTGCAGTTTGTCCCCAGCCCCAGTTGGGGTCATGTGGGTGGCAACCAGTTGATGTGTCTCTCTCACATCGTTGTTTCTCTCTCTCTCTTCCCCCCTCTCTCCTTCCCGCTCTGTCTGAAGATAGATGCAAAAATGTCCTCAGGTGAGGATAAAAACAAAACAAAACACTAAGAAGATCAATCAACATTGACACATAATAACTTGCAAGGATAATGGCTATAGAACATGTATGGAAGTAGATGTGAACAACACAGACTCCGTTTCCGTGTCCCAGATTTCTTTGATGCTGTGACCTTTGATCAACGTCACTGTCCTTAGCAAGCATATCAAAGCCTTCTAGTTGATGATTACCTGTGTTCCATAAAATGTAACATAAATATTTTTGTTAGTAATGGCCACAATAGCATGGCAACCAGGATAAACATTAAACTGAGATAGTGTTGGTTATAAAACCATCTGCCATCACTAGACCACCAGGAGGCATGGCCCCTGGTGTGTACTGCATTCCTTGTCCCTTTGTCTTGTCAATCATTAGCACCTGAGTTATACTGAAAAAAGTACTGTAACAGAGGTCTGTTAGTGGAGAATAATCTGTGCAGAGGCTGGGTCATCTATGCGCTCCGACCCCGCATCCCTGTAAGGAAATGACCCGAGAATAATGTCTGCTATAGTCTATGGACCTGCGTGCTTGGTTCTTGTCTGAACATACCTTCTTGTTCTGGTGGCCATTACACCTTTGCCCCACCAATGGGCAGTATGTTAAGTAAACAATAGCAAAAAAGAAAGTTATAGAATGATAGTTGTTATATGATTGTAGTTTAAAAAACCAGATGCACGTACTTGTATTTATTTATATTCTCAAGGGCAACGCATTAAAGGTACACGCCAAGTTACATCAGAGAGTCTGGAAACGAAGACTTAATTTTACCTTAGACACGTCAATATTTTTGAAAAGTTATGATTAGCATGCATTTCTCTTTGACTCAAATAAGTGAAATAAACATTTTTAAATCTTCCGAATTACAAGTGCAACAAAACAAATGGGGGAAATGAGATATAAAAGAGAAATGCCACAAGACAAATCATTTATCTAGTGGTCTGACTAGCAGTCAATTGTGACAGGTTATTATGTCATATATATTGTTCTGGTTTTAGCTGTATCATTTTAAACATTGTAGGATCCCTGGTTATATCATGTAGATCAGAAATCTTGATTAAAACTGGTTATTTCAGTTCATTGAAAGTTCTAATTAGGAGTTATATGATACTAATTACAAAAAGGGAGAAAATAAATTTTTATTTCATCAAGGCATCGTGGTAGTCATGAAGAGAAAAAATGCTACTCCCCCAAAACCCCCCCTCCAAAACAAAACAAAACAAAAAGATATCTTGATGCAGAAAGATTGGTTTACAGCATTATGTTATGCTTTCACGTCCATTGAGATCACAGTGGTGGTGGGTTCGTAGGAAGCCTACTGGAATCAGTCAAAAGACAATCAACTCACCATTGTAACAAGCCCAGTGCAGCGGCGTGTAGCCTTGGTTGTCTTTGAAAGAACAGTCTTCCTCAGAAAGTGCCATCTGGAGCAGCTCGCTCAGCCACGTGGCGTGGCCACGAGCAGCTGCATAATGCAAGGGTGTCCGCCCTCTGGAATCTTTACAGAGAATTGACACTTCTTGTTCCAGCAGCATTTGCACACATTCCTCATGTCCCGTCATAATCTAATAAATTGCAATTAAAAACACAAAACAAATTTCAGAAGGGCAGAGACTCGGGTAGGGAAGCAGGTGGCTGAGGCTGGGCTCAGAGTAGGAGGACATAAATGCCTAGGCCTCAGGGAAGTTTACTCTGCCCTACTTCACAGGACAGGACAACCCAGCAAAAGTCATATTAGAAAAGTCTGTGTGAACATCAGCATTTTGGAAACATCTCTTGACTCTCCAAACATACCCATGAAATGTTTAGAAACATTCCAAAGTAGAAAACATCAGCTTTAGAATTATGAAGATGTGAGTTAAATCCTGACTTCTCCTGGTAAAACCTAGACAAATCGATCCACCTCTCTGTGTCTCATTTCATTTACCTGTAAATGGGAACAGTAATAGTGACCCCACAGGTAGTTGTGAAGACTAATGAGAAAAGACATGTAAAGGCCCTCGGCCTGTTGCATGGGCCATGGGAAGTACCAAAGAAATAAGAACTATGATTATGACTTGGACCACTTAGAGTTCCTCGTCTTTTCACTGACCATGGTGTTCAGCACCAGCCCCAAATAGCACTTTAAAATTTTTTTTTTTTCGTTATTGATTTTAGAGGGAGAGGAAGGGGGAGGGAGAGATAGAAACATCAATGAGAGAAAACATCGACTGGCTACCTCCTGCATGCCCCCCACTGGGGATCGGGCCGACAACCTGGGCATGTGCTCTGACCAGGAACCGAACCAGCGACTTCTTGGTGCATGGCTTGACGCTCAACCACTGAGCCATACCAGCCGGGCCCAAATAGCATGTTTATTTCTGCTTTTGTTTGATGTAGTTGTTTGTTTGTTTGACATGCTTTAAAAAAACAATTCAGCAGATATGTACAATTTGTTCACAGGATACATATTTTAGTGGGATGGGTCAACATTTTTAATAAAGAGCAATAAGAAATAGCACGAGTACTCAAAACGAAGGGCTCATTGTCGTAAGCATGACGGCTGCACACAATGGGCCATTAAACATGACGGAGCAGGAAAATATTTACTGACGTGGAAGAAGGCTCTTGATATTCTGAAAGAACAAAATGGGTTCCAAATAGTATCTTCAGATTTCTCTTTAAAAATTTTTTAAAAATAAACCTATACACAGAAAATAAAATTGGGTATATAAACCAAAAAAATGATTATCTCCAGGAGGTCAGATTACTTGGTGACTGTAATTTTCTTCTCTGTGCTTTAAAAAAATATTTGCAAATTTTCTATGACATGCAAAGTATTATATAATTAGAAAACAGAACCAATTCTATCAACAGTAGGAGTTCCTGTATCTATTATTACAATCTAACGTGAAATCTCAAGAGCAGGATCGAAGAATACCTGTCATTATTTTACTCTTGCAAAAGATTCTGTCATTTCTTTTTGACTGAGGTAAATTGGTTACCTGAGGAAACATTCTTCTTACTAAAAATTCATCTGGGGAAGTAAAGAGGAAACATGCTCATTACAAAAGTGCTTGACTGAAGCTGAGGAAGACGTACCCCTCTGTGCAAAGCTGTACATCCCATAATGTCAACAGCATCTACATTGGCTTCCTTTTCAAGTAACAATGAAACAGCATCAATGTGTCCATATGCTACCGCAAGCATCAGCGGGGTTCTAGGGAGAGAGACAAATTAGGCTTTTTAGAAGAAGATTAAAAAAACCAAAGAACTCATCACTTCAAGTGGGAGGACTTCCTTCTCATTATCTCCAACACTTGGTCTCTCTTACTCTCTCTTCTTGACAGTTGCTTGATATTTTGAGTGCCCCCAATTAGCTATATGAACTTGGAACAAGTTATCTGCCTCTGGTGTTTAATGGCCACATGGAATGGTGTCAGTGAAATAATGAATGTGGGTGGGAGAGGGAAAGATATTCACTTTAATCCCATCATTTTCAAAAGTATTGAAATGTCAATTGAGTAGGGAATGTGGGTAAGTAGGAGACCCTCTTGCTTCTATCAGAGTAGTTCTACTTTCATAGCTTTCTATGTCGGTATTTGCTCAATATTTCATTTGAACAAAACCCACTGGTTTAAAGAAAAGTGTGACAAATCTAGAGGAAAGAACAGAGTGCTGGAATCCAGGAGGGGACATCCTAGTTCTGATGTCAACACGGACTCATGTACCTTGTGTGAGTCACTGGTGCTGCTCTGCCCTGCATTTCCTATTGGGAAGAGAAGACTGGGTGTAGGAACAGGCTCCCAGAAGAAAAGGACTTTGGAACAACAAACCCAAGGAAGGAGACAACATGAAGGATTTGAATGAGAGAACTTCTTGAGGTCATTGCCATTATTAATGTTAAAATGTGAATGTAGCAGCTTCAAAAGGGGGTAAAATGGGTAGAAAGAAGAAGCAAAGGAGGACTATTTTTAAAAGGCCAGGCCACATGGCCACAGACATAAAAAGTTGGCTCCTTTTCATCAAGACAGATACACACACACACACACACACACACACACACACACACATACACACACTTTTCTCCGATACATATACTCTAGCATAAAGCCACCTCATTATTCTAGGGTTCTCATCCATGAATTTCAGCCGAACATATACCCACCCCCCGCACCCCCGTCGCCGCTGCCTTGCCCAACCTAAAATTCTGCAGTCAGCCCTGCTAGCTGCTTAACAAACCAACCAATTACCTGCTGTGACTGAAATGTCAACCCCAGGCCAAGTGTGAGAACACTTACTGTCCTTTGGCATCTTTCACGTCAACTACTTCCGGGTTGTCTGCAATTTCTAGTAACAGCCGCAAACACAGTGTGTGACCATTAATGACTGAAAAAGAAAACAATGGACATTCTTTTAACAGACCAACACAATTACACATATCCCTCCAAAGTGAAATTTATTTGAACCTCAAATCATTGGTTTCTCGATTGTTGCTATCCCAGCTTTCCAGTTTACCCTCGCTGCTGGGTGGACACAGTGTGCTCGGGAGTTTATTTTACTAATCCATCTTCTCCTTTCTTCCCGTCAGGGCATTTTGGTCCTTACCTAACTTTCCCCTGGTTTATGTACTGAGGGTTATTTTTCCTTAAACATAATGTCCTCTTTTTTATATAAAAAAAATCTCCTTAAAAGGGACTAATCATTTCTCCCTACTCTCCAGGTATCTTTTTTGTTCCTCGAAGAGAGTCACCGAATACTATATAATCCCATGTCCAGTCTGCTTTTAGACCATTTTAAAAAGAAGGCAGAGCCCTGGCTGGTTTGGCTCAGAGGTTAGAGTGTCGGCCCTCGGACCAATGAGTCGTGGGTTCGATTCTGGTCAAGGGCACGTACCTCGGTTGCGGTTCATCCCCAGCCCTGGTAGGGGTTGTGTGGGAGGCAGTCAGTCAATGTGTCTCTCTCACGTCGCTATCTCTCTCTCTCTCCCTCCCACTCTATCTGAAGATAAAACAGAAAAATATCCTTGGGTGAGGGTTAAAAAAAAAAGGAAAAAAGAGGGGCAGGAGAAGGTAGAGGAGGGGGAGAGGGGAGCAGGAACAGATGGGAGGAGGAGAGAGAGGAGGAGGCAAAGCAGAGGGGAGAAGAGGAAAGGAGCAAGCCCATCCTGTTCTTTTCCCCTCGGTCAGCGTGCATTCTGAGGCAGACGTTCAAGTAACAGTGCTGACTGATTAGTGTTGACTTTAAGCAAACCCTCAAGCTGGCAAGGTGTACAGAAGCCATTGACTCATTGCTTATTGATTGACTGCCTGGATGGGTCGCCTAGGGATGCACCTCCATCCCTGAGTTCTTCAAACCGCAGCCCATCATTTCTCTGCCTGACGACGTTTCGAACATGCTGGGGTTGGGGGCTCTCCATGGGTCTCACATCCCTGGGTCCCCTCCGTCCCCTGCCCTCCCCTTCTTTTCCCCTGCTGAGGTCTCCTCACTACTTCCCAGGTGCTGCTGGGTCCTCACCCATAATCACCCAGCGGTCGCAGTGGGGTCTGGCAGTGGGTAGAACATGCAGCCAGAACACTGCTGTTAACCTTGACCAGCTAGTACGCAATACATGGATGCGCCCTTGTGTGCACCAGGCACGATGTTTCTCTTAGGAGTGGGTGCTTCTGCGCTGGGGCGCCAACCTCCTAGGATGGCAATCCCGACTAAGCTACTTTCTCCAGCTTGTTGAATGCAACCCACAGCCTTACAAAAGACATGGCTTTCCACTTGGGGAGGAGGATGAGAACAAGGGATGTTTAAATTTCCCACAGTGACCTTCTCTCCTCTTTGAAACAATGAGAACACTATAAAATATCTTGCATTTACCTCGTTATGGATGTGGAGAGAGAAGGGAATAGATGCAGCTATGTTAGGTTAATGAAGGCCCCTCTAAGAGCTGCATTTTACAGCCCTTTTTATTGCATGCCAGTCATGAGAGGACGCTAACTGAACAACGACACGTTTTTCAGGGACAATACATATTAGGATTAGCTCACATTCATCGACACCACTCAAATTAACTACAGGAATAATGCCCACATTTTGTAGACCATTGCATTCAGCTCATTTTCAGCAACATCCCATTTATGTATCTCAGGAGGAAATTTTGGGGACTGGAATACAGGCAATGTACTGTTGTTGCTGTTGGGTTTTTTTGTTCGTCTGTTTTAAATAGTACATTAAATCTGTTGCCACTGGTAACTACTATCTGCAAGTAGTTTAATGTATGCTTAAAAGGAAATGATTAGCAGAGGACTGGCAGCTAAATACTACAGGCCATGGGTTCATAGAGTGGAGGGGGTACAAGGGGGTTTGATTGATGCCTCTTTCTATATCAACTCGACATTCTTTATATGCTCATAATCATAATAGTTCCAAGGATATTTGACTTTTGGCTAGACAGAAAAAGGGAAAAAATCATCTAAGTTCATATCATAGACCCAGTGTGTTGAAGAGCAAACCAGTATCTACAGTAGTGCCTTTTGGGGGGGAGAGGGTACTACCACTTTTTGAACTGAGCTAATAGCCCTTATTGGAAAAGTGTAGCCAAACTAGAATTCTTGTTGGCTTCCCACACACTGCATTTTCCCCAACTGCCTTCTAGCAAAAAGATGCTCACATCTCCTTAGCTGTGCCTGCCAAGCCCAGCTTTGTCTTAGACCAGCCCAGCCTCTCCGTTGCTCTGAGTGACAGCCATTTTTCATGCTGCTCAAAGACCACAACTGTCATTGCAACTAGCTGTGCCCAAACCTCTAATATCCAGTCTGGCTCCTGTTCCTCATAGTATTCCCAGGATTTGAAAGAACAAAAGTTGGCCTGTCAAATGAACTGGAAAAGAGTCTGGATAATAAGATTCTCAAAGCTTCCACATAGCGGACATTTTGTGGAGAACAGAGTCAAACGACAGCCTGTGTTATCAATGAATGACTTGAGGAAAATCCAAAAAGGAGTGTGTCTTCTTGACCACCAGGGGGCTCTATTGGACCACAACCTATGAAATGGCAAATGAGTGACAATGATTATTTTTCATTGTTTAGTTGTTTACAAAAGCAATTTTCCACAGTGAAAATAGGCCCTTTGTAATGGTCAGGAAGTACCTGATAACTAAAGCAATAATAGGCAACCAATATTTGAACTTTAGAAAGATACCAAGGATGTCTAGAATATCAAACTTTATAATGCTTTATAAATAATACCAAAAAGACTATATGTGATAGGAAATAAAAATTTATAATTTAACCAAACACTGCTGATCTAATGGCTAAAGTTTTTTCCAGGAATAATTATTTCCAGGTAATTAGGCAACAGCCATGTTTTTTGTTTTTATCTAAGCCCCACGATGGCTCCATATTGTTTTTCTTCAGTGATTTGGAAATTCAGGAATGTGGGTGGAAATTCTACAAAGCCTAACATTCTGAGAAAATTTTCCCGAGTAAAACGACTATTAAATCTTCTGAAAAACCATCTTCACTTTTTTGCTTTCTCAATGCACTCATTTAATTGTGTAAGACAGTTATTTCTCATTATAAGACAATATTTACTATCCCAGTCAAAGGCAGATACAGTTGTCCCTCACCACTTTGCATTTTGCTTTTGTGGCTTCACTCTATCGTGGCTTTTTCAAATATATTCATTAAAAAGTTGATCGAGACAGTGAAAATAATACAGCGCGTGCTTGGTTGTCTGAGTCAATTATACAGTCCTGTATTACAATTAAAATAAAAATTACTGTACGTATGGACTGTAGGCCTATGTATTCGAGCACCCCAGGAATCCTTCAATGCCAGGTGCAACCGCTTGACCTCTCCTTGTGTGTGGGCAATAACTTTTTTCCAAAAAGTCGGGTGTGGTGAAACCAGGCCAATCAGAGCATGCTGTTCATTGATTGGCTATCCTATCCTCTTTCTATCCTGGCCACTGATTGGCTCAGCCTCATGCAAGTTCGTTTCTCTCACACACCCTTCTACATCGCTATGCATCGGAAGCATCTTTGCTCGTGTTTATGATTTCTGAGAACTTTTATCTAAGCCCCACGATGGCTCCTAAACGTGCTGCTTCTTCTAAGCCTTCTGACGATGAAATAAGCGCCAGAGGAAGATGCTTACCATCCAGGAGAAGGTGAAACTCTTGGATGTGATCAAAGATGGCAAGAAAATCGTGGAGGTTGCCCACCTTTATGAATCTACCATTCGCTCCATCCGTAAAGATGAAAAGGACATCCGTGCAATGGCTTCTGTCTCTTTCAACAAGGAAGCAAAGCATGTCGTGACAAGTCCTAAGTTCTTAGTGAAAATGGAGTCTGCCCTAGCCATTTGGATCAGCGGCAGTGGCAAGAAAAACATTCTGCTGAATTTGCTGGTCATCCAGGAGAAGGCGAGGCAGCTCTATCTGTGCTTTATGGCGGACGAACCTCAACCAGGACCTTCTTCTGGTTGGATTCATGGATTTCATGGCGAGTGAAGGTTGGTTCGAGAAGTCCCAGAAGAGGTATCATCTGAAGAGTGTTGTTCTCCACAGAGAAGCTGCCTCTGCTGACCAGCCTGCAGCAGAGGACTATGTGAACAACACCCCAGAGGATATAAGCAACTCAGCAGTGGATAAGGCAGTTAGGCGAGCGCGGATGCTGGGAGGAGAAGGTTTCTAGGATATGACCCGCGATGATGTGGATGAGCTGCTGGAGACACATTCGGATCCCTTAACTGACGAGGATCTGGTGGAGATGACTAAGTCTGCGAGTGAGGACGAGGAAAAGCAGCCAGAGGTTCCTAGGGGTCTGGAGGAGGAAGTTGGCCTTACACTTGAGCGTCTCTTGCAAGTCGTGAGAACTATTAAGGTAGTACAGGACATGATTGCGAATGGGACCCACAAATGATCGTGCACTGCAGTTCCGGAATGCATTTGATGGGGCGATAGAACCCTACAAAAGCCTCCACACATATGAAAAGTCAGCACCAGCAACTGCCTATCACGATGTTCTGCAGCCGCGCACCCGGACACCCACTGCCTACTCCCAGTGCTCCTTCAGCGGAAGACAACAACGACGCACCTGCTGAAGATACTGCACCACCTGAAGACTCTCCTACTGAGGTCGTGCCTGCAGAGGAGCAGTAACCTTGCTCTTCTTTGCTGTGCAGAACATCTCATCTTCATTGCTTCATCATCGAACAAGTTGCACAATTTTCATAGGTTAGTGGTTGTGTATAAGAACTGTGTGTATGTGTAATTAAATGTACAATAATAATATTATATTTGTAACATCTAATATGTCTTATTTTCTCTTGTTTTGTCTAATATATTGGGTAACACGAGTGTAATGGTGACTAAAAGATGTTATTTCATGTCTAGAGGGCTCTAATAATAAAAAAATGTATTTAGAAGGTTGTAAACAGGTTTTCTATGCTCTAACTGTGAAAATATTCGATTTATAAATAAAGAAACCTACTTCACAGAAATTCATTTATCGCAGTAGAGTCTGGAACTGATTAACCGTGATAAACAAGGGCCGGCTGTATCATTAAATTCCTGACCCCAAAGAAATGTATGCCTTAGCTGAGCTGGAGACTCGCCACATTACCTTTTCATATCCGGTATATGTCTGGCAATGTCTTGATAGAGTTTTGTTTGATGTATATTAGAGAAAAATCCCAGAAAAGGCAAATTACTTACTTTTGGATATAAACATGCACTTTTTGAGTCTCTATTTTTACATTTGATGTATCAAGAATCAGAGAAAAAGCTAAGAAGCATCAGTGAAGCTGGCAGAATGGTGTACTGATTAGTTTGCTGTCTGAAGGCTCCTTTTATGAAAGAGCCCTGAAATATCATGAACTGTATGCTTTAAATTGCCGTGTCGTTTTGTTCTATGTAACATATCTAAAGATCACATGAGGCCTTGCCTTTTTTTCCAGAAAGTTTTGTGATAGCTATTGGCCCAAGGTTCTGAACTCTTTTGAGTTAAGAGGAAGACCAGATGGAGCACACAGGATTTTTAGAGCTGGATTTATAGTGCTGTACTCTGTACAATACTATACATACAAATGTCATTATATATTTGTTTAAATTCATGTAAACTATGGACTTGGGATGATGACGATGTCAATGTAGGTTCATCGGTTGTACCTTATGTACCACTCTGGTGGGGATGTTGATAATGGGGAGGCAGAAGGGATATGGGAAATCTCAGTACGTTCCTCTAAATTTTGCTGTGAACCTAAAACTGCTCAAAAAAAATAAAGTCTTTTTTTTTTATCCTCACCCAAGGGCATTTTTGCATTTACCCTCAGGTAGAGAGGGAGGAAGAGATAGAGAGAGATCGACGTGTGAGAGACACATCGAGTGGCTGCCACCCATACAACCCCAACCGGGGCCAGGGACAAACTGCAACCGAGGTACGTGACCTTGGTGGGAACAGAACCTGGGACTCTCCGGTCTGGGGGCCAACGTTCCAACTGCTGAGCCAAATTGGCCAGGGCTAAAAAAATAAATTCTTTAAAGAAGATGGCTAGAGTCCCTCTGGTCAGAGAACACCAATCATCTCAAAGTGGATAGATAGTAAGCCAAGCATTTTGGAAGAATGTAGGCATATCTGATATAGAAAGAAAATACTTTAAAAATGGGAATAAAAGAAGATGCTGCCATTCTTTTACTCAAACTTGTAAGTGGGCCACCAAACTAGGGTAATCAGACTCTTGACCAAACCTACCTGAGGCATGAAGTGGGGTTCTTTTGGTTACATTGTCTTTCACAAAGATGGACGCGCCCTGATTGATCAGCGCTTCCACACATTCTGTGTGTCCCTTGAAGGCAGCCAGGTCCAGAGCGGTGCGGCCTTTCTCATCCCTGATGTCCAGGTCCACCAGCGACTGCAGAAGGACTTCTAAGGCTTGATGGTGCCCATTGTAGGCCTGCAGAGAAGAAACCAACGACCCAGTGTTCACTCGCTTCAAACCCCACAACTATGCAAAGGAGGGGCTAGGCCTCCAGGGTCACAGAAGAGACCCGCCCCAAAGAGCACGTCAGGAAGACACCAGGATAATTATGGAAACACAGGAAACCAAAGAGTTAGACTGAAAAATCATAATACACGAAACTCCCAGTTATTATGAATTCCTTCATGCCCTTTCTCTTTTGTCAAATAATTTGTCCCAAAGGCACTAACTGTATTAACGTACTCTTATATTTATATCTATCGATCTACTAATCTAACACCGACGAGTAGCTGCATGAACTCATATATTCTCCTATCTGCCAGTTCGGTCTACACACACTGATCAGGACATTTTTTTCAGGAGATTTTTTTGTTAAACCTGGAGAAAAACTTTACTAAAAACACGTGGTCTTCATAATTCAACAGGGGCAGAGAGACCTTGTTGCAGTTCAACATTTTAAGTTCTTAACCATGTGACCCTGGGTGAGTGTCCTCACTTCACTTAGTTTGTGTCCCTATCTGTGAAGTGAGAACAATGACAGGTGCCTCCCGGGGAAGATGAAAAGGGATACAACTGCACAGGCTTTGCATAATATCCTGTCCACAGTTGATGCTTCTTCCTCTTTCCTTTACTGCTTCCATCGATTACAATGACAACATAGAAAAGGTATGGAAATACGTTCTACGTACTGGTGCCACATTCGGACTTATTATGAGGTTCTACGCTATGCTAAGGTTAAGAGCCTTATGCTACTGAAAACCAAAATCAAGAGTCTGAAAGATGAGTTTCACCAAATCTACAAGGTAAAAATGTATGTGTACACACAAGACAAAGGACCGAAATAAAGACAAGGCTATAAGAGTACAGTGAGAAGGGAGAGGAGGGGGAGGGAAGGAAGGAGGGGGAGAAAGGCCTGTCCTCAGTGCCTTCAGCAGCCGGAGTCCCCTCTTTGTGTCTCCTGCACTTTTTATTTCTCTACTGCTGTGATTCCTCAAGGCACAATTTATTTTAAAAAGGCTTAGCACAGAAAAAGGCTAATTCCCTGAATATAAAAAGAGCTTTTACAAACCATTTTAAAAACTAGAAAATGTGCCAAGGGCATCAAAAGGCAGCTCACATAAAAAGAAATATAAAAGGTCACTGAACATACAAAAAAAAATAGGTATATTTTTATGGTACTATTTTTTTCCTTTATTGATTTTAGAGAGAGAGGAAGGGAGAGGGAGAGAGATAGAAATATCGATGAGTGAGAACATTGATCAGCTGTCTCCTGCATGCTCCCACTGAGGATTTGGCCCACAACCTGGGCATGTGCCCTGACCAGGAATTGAACCAGCGACCTCTTGGTGCATGGAGCCACACCAGCTGGGCTATAGTACTATTTTTTAACTACCAGATTGGCAATGATTAAGTTTGATGTGAGTATTAGTTAAGAACAATGAACAAAACGATCTCATGCTCTGTTGGTGGGAATATAAATTGCTGTGACATATCTGGACAGCAATTCGACAAAATCTATCAAAATTTTTAAAAAACACACCTAAAAACTAAGTTGTAAACAGTACATACAGCATAATCTCATTTATACAAAAAGCAAATATATCCAGATATATACATATCTATATATGTATGCATACTTCTATATTTACAGCAAATTTCAGAAGATTACAAAGAGAAACTATTAACCTCCAGCTATGAGAGGTAATGAACATATGGACTTGTTCACTTTATCTTTTTAAAAATCATTTGAGCCCCGCCAGTGTGCTTGAGCATTGACCCATGCTCCAAGAGGTCGCCGGTTTGATTCCTGGTCAGGGCACATGCCCAGGTTGTGGGCCTGATCCCCAGTGGGGGCATGCAGAAGGCGGCCAATAGATGTTCTCTCTCATCAATGTTTCTATCTTTCTCTCCCTTTCCCTTCCTCTCTCAAATCAATAAAGGAAAAAAAAAAATTAATAAAAAAAAATGTTTGAATATTTTCCTCTGAGTATATGTTGACAATAATAACGAAGATTAGAGAAATTTAGATGACTGATAATAGTTTTAAAACTTTATCATCGCATTATTTTTTAGAAGGATTATGATTATGGTGTGCATTAAATATATATATCGTGAACTCATATGCTGATGAATCCATAATGTATACTGCAGTTCCAACCTCTCCTTTTACTTCTACACTTGTATATTCAACTGCCTATTGATATTTCCACTTGAACATCTAACATGCATCTTAACCCTAACATGTCCCAGATCGTATTCTTTTTTTTTTTCTTTTTTTTTTTTTTATCCTCACCCGAGGACATTTTTCCATTTTTTTGTACAGATAGAGTGGGAGGGAGAGAGAGGAAGAGAGAGAGAGAGAGAGAAACATCGACGTGAAAGAGGCACATCGAGTGGCTGCCACCCGCACGACCAACCAGGGCCGGGGACAAACTGCAACCGAGGTACATGCCCTTAGCGGGAACCGAACCCGGGTCTCTCCGGACCGCAGGCCGATGCTCTAACCGCTGAGCCAAACCGGCCAGGGCCCAGATTGTATTCTTAATCTCATTCCCCAAACTTGCCTGGCCTTCTCCATCTCAGTGAATGGCAACTTTATTCTTCTAGTTGCTCAGGCCCCAAACTTTGGCGTCATCTTTGTCTTCCCTCGTGGTCCCAGGGTTGTAGTCCCGCACAAGGCTCTGGACATCGGGCCAGTGAGGGCTGATCAGCAGCCTCTCCCCACCCTTTCACTCCCCTCACCAACCTTCCAGGCCCGGGTACCGGGATGTGTCTTCTGAGAGGAAGGGACACCTTTTGTCGACCACACAGAGATGTCATCAGGTTCCCAAGTGTCTGGCAGGGATTCCTCCACCCATCTCCCCTTTCTATTTCACACACAGGTGCTGTGTGACTAGTGGCAGCTCTCAAGGCCATGATCATCCATCTCTACTTGCAAGCTGTGATCATCTCTATTCTTTCTTTAACGTGTATGCAGAATCTACCCAGTTCTCGCTAGACTATGATCCTCTTTTTCCAGGATGATGGCAAAAGCGTCCCTTTCCATCCTTGCTCCCTTACAGCCTATTATTGACACAGCCATCTGATGAAATCCTCTAACACCCAACTTGGACAGAACACTCCTTGATGAAAACTGGCCTATGACTTCTTCCCTATTGATAACAAATTTCAAAACTTTCCATGACCATTCAGGCTCTTAGGATTTGGCCTCCCTCTACCCCGATCATCAGTACATCCCCTCACTTACTCTATTCTAGCCACACTATCCCCCACTCTGGTTAAATACAAGCATTTCCTCCTCGGGGCCATTGCATCTGTACTGCGCGTCTCCTGTCTGGGAAGCTCTTCCCCAGAGAGACACATGGCTTTCCTGGTGCTTCTGCTTCCCAGAGCAGCCTCTATAAAACAGCCCTCCGGCCTCCACCTCAACGCACCCCCAGACACTCTCCACCACACTTATCCTGCTTTATTTGATCTTCAGAGCACTTCAAAAAAAGTTTTAAATATTAAAAACAAAGGGAGTAAAAGGTTCTCATCACAAGAAAAAACCCTGTAACTATGTGTGGTGATAGATGTTAACAGACTTACTGTGGTGATCACTTCGCAGTACATGCAAATATTGGATCACCACGCTGCACACCTGAAATTAGTACAATGCTGTACGTCAACCATAACTCAATAAAAAGAAAAAACAACAGCAACGAGGTAATAAATACTGTTCAAAACTTATTTCTTCCTAATTATTTTACTAGACTTTACAGTTATCTGTGTGCACTTGATGTTATTTACATCTCTTGTGTCTGTTTTGTGGAAATACCCTATTGTAGTGTACTACTGCACTGCTGATAGTACTTCTTACTACCTGCTATCAGTTACCTATCTATTGATTTGTTATTGTCTATGACTAAAGGCACTTTCTGTGCGTTGTTTACTGCTATATTCTAGACTCATGCCTGACATATAGTTGACATCCAACAATTATTTGAAGAATAAGTGAATGAATATAATGACTTATTATCATGTATTAGTATTAGTGGTAGGAATATGTTTTTTAAATAGCACCTGTTTATTGAGGGCACTATACTGAGTACTCTAGATTTAGCATCTGATTTAATCTTTGTAAACATCCTTTTTATAGATGAAAAAAAAAAAAACCCAACAAAACCAGCAATGGTAATTAATTCATCCAACATCACTTAGCTAGTAAACAACAAAGGCAGGATTTGAAACCCAGAATCTGAGACTACTAAAATCTATGTTTTTAGCCATGTCTTATCATTTTCCCCAGTAATTCCATTTAATTGGCTTTCAAAGAAAATACTTTTGTCTCTACATGTAACAGCACAGAGATCTGACTAACAAACATGGAATCAGAGACCTACACCCCTTCTCCAGAAGGTTTAATGTGGAGGAAAAGTGACTTGAACAGAGCTACGAAGCAAGGTTTACCCTGGGCAAACTTCCAGACTGTTGATCTCACACTACACATACTGCCTTTCTTGAGACAGAAAAATTCCCTTTCTACCTTCAGATCTGTATCTGCTATGCACACCGTAACTGTGTCGGAGAGTAAGCTTTAGTCTAACCTAAATTCTGAAGCAATAGCTTTTATTGATCTTTTGCTCTGTGTCAGAGAGTACTAGACATGTAGCTCCTTATTTGTCATAGCAGCCCATGGTTTGGATACTGCTGCTATCCCCATTTACCCACAGGGACGCAGCCCTCTGGTCACACAGCCTTGCTGGTGGAGCTGGGATTCAGCCACTCAGACCGGGAGCCTGGGCTGTGGCGTCTCCATGAGCGGCTATGGAATGGGTGCTAATGGCCACAAGGTCTATGTTTCTTTAACTTTTCATTATAGGAAATATCCAACTTATACAAAGAAGACAGGACAGTGTAATGAACGCCCATATACCCATCACCTAGTCTCAGCCACTGCCAACTCAGGACATCGGTGACTTTCAGTGGCAGTGGTAACAGGAGCACCGACATCAGGGTGTAAGTCAGTGGATCTCACCTTGGGCTTGAATCTGTGGCTTATTTGAAAACTGACTTTGCATAACGCTTCCTCTCATTTTAAATGGTGATGGCGGTAACGGATTCAGCTTGTGTAGAAGTCCTGACTTCACACCAAAGGGAAGTCCCGACTCCACCTAGATAACAGTGGATTCTAGATGCTATTTGCAAAGGGTGGTTGCTCAGTGCCTGCTACTACCGTGACAAAAATAGCAAACATTTTCATTTCTGTCAATATGACAGCCGAGGAAAAAGGAATCAGCATGCTTATGTACAAAGCATGATAGCTGACAGATTTAGATCCAGTGAAGAGGAGACTCTCGGGGGAAAGAGGAACGTTCTCAGGAAGGAAGCCGGAGTGGAGACGTCAGCACGGTCCAGAACAGTAGCCACATCACAGGCGCTTAGTTAGGTGCTGACTTAAGAACTTAGCTCCTCTGAAAGACCCCTCGAACCCTCACAACAAAACATAAATCCCTCAGCACGTATTAAAGTTAAAGAGGCTTAACATCAAAATAAAATGGAGTGAACCCTGCTGGTAATTACAAAAGCTTGTAATTACACTTTCTCCTATACCAGGTGTTTGAAAGTTCCCTTAAAGGTAGAACGGCTGAAAGTCCAGGGTTACCTATAGAATCCCTCCTCTTTCTTCCTTTGGTCTACTTCAGCGATCTCCAACCAGTGTGCCACAAAAGATTTTGAAACATTCAATACCTGACAATTTAGTCAGGGGCACTGACCTCTTTTCCCTTAGATGTCAAATAAAAGAATGACACCAGTCAACACAACAACAGCTTTCCAGTGTGAATGAATCAAAATTATACCTATTTTTTTCAGTCAGATCAGCCAAAAAAAATATGTTTTGGTGTGCCACAGAATTTTAGTAAGTAGTTGATATGTGCCATGAGCTGGAAAAGGTGAAAATCGCTGGTCTAGCTTACAGCTCTTGGATTTTAGTACGCATATACATTCCAATACAGAATGAAGACACAATTATGTCCTAAACTTCAAGGGCAATAGGAGGGGACTAATAAAGGTAACTTGGATTATACAAGAACTTTCATTTACACTTCATAGCTTAACCCTATAAAAGAACAATTATCACATAATATAGAATTCTTTTTTATGGTTAAATGCATGATTCTGTCTTTAGGCAGTTATATGGCCTTTGGAGTATATTTTAGAAGTATACAATAGAGCTTTAAACTCTACAATAGAGACTCAAGTTGCCAGGAGAGGAGACCTTTCTCGTGTCAGCAGCACATGATGAAAATTTTCCTATTTTTCTTTTTGTTCCCATCTTTTTTTTTTTTTATCCTCACCCGAGGACATTTTTGCATTTATCTTCAGATAGAGCGGAAGGGAGAGAGGGGGGAAGAGAGAGAAAGAAACATCTATGTGAGAGAGACACATCCAACTGGCTGCCACCCACATGACCCCAACTGGGGCTGGGGACAAACTGTAACCGAGGTACCTGCCCTTAGTGGGAACTGAACCTGGGACTCTGGTCCGCGGGTCGATGCTCTAACCGCTGAGCCAAACTGGCCAGGGCTCTGTTCCCATCTAAAACCAGGTGTTTAGAAGGCAATTCTGCAAATGATTTCTGAAATAACTAGAGGAGGAAGTAACACACAAAAGAACAAATACACTGGTTCAAAAAGCATGTAGTATTTTGGCTTTCAATAGGCAACCCAGGTTAAACCTCTGCTGGAGGGAGCAAACCTTTTAAATTTGTTTTATAAAATACCTTAAATCCTGTTGGGTAACACATATTTTTAAAACGTCACTAATTTCTTTGAACTTTTTAGTTTGGAACTGAGGGCAGCGAGGGGAAAGAATCTGGGATCTCAACAGAATCCATGCAACAATGGATTCGTCTGGAAATCTCAACAGCTGGAGCCCTTCATTTGCATAGCCCTGTTTCTTGATTTAATTTTTTCAAGTGGTTGAAAATGCTTATGAAATTCATTAGGCTGATCACCCTGGAGACGTGACTCTTTCAGCCAGGAAATGGTAGCTCGAGGGAGGTCAGGTGTCTTGTGGCAGCCAAGGTTGGAGGGCATCTGGTTCCACTTCCCTGCTAGAATGCTTCCATCTAAGAAATAATGCGCCTTGGGTTTTTATCAAGTTAATTGCTACAGTGGCCCCTGGAGGGGGTGATGGGCATCCTTGTGGAGTTCTTGAAGCAAACAATATTTTTTAAAAAGGGGTTAGCATTCAGAGGGCAAGAATAACATCGTTTTCGAATTAACACACTGCTATCTCCCTGGTTGAAGTCATCCTCCTCCTTGCTTGCCTGGTTGCCTTCCTTCTGCTTTTGCTCTTTTATAATTTAAACTCAACACATTTTTAAAACATGAATTGTATCATATCATCTGTCTCCTAAAATTTCTCCAAATGGTTTCCTACTTTGCTCAGAGTAAAAGTCTAAGTTCTTACAATGGAGCGCGAGGCCCTCTGTGACCTGCCAAGGCCCTGGCAGCCCCCCCACCCCCACCCCAGACCTCATCCCGTCCCCCCCTCCCTCCCCGCACTCCTCCAGCCACGGCGGTTTTCTTGCTCTTCTGGTAACATGCCTAGTATGCTCTCACCTTTGCACTCCTGCCTAGAACACTCTTCTGTCACATACCAACACGGTGGCCCTGAGGTGCCCATTCCATGTGAGATTCTATGTCTGTGCACCTGCACCGCCCGCCGCCTCGATGCTCTGTCTCACTGAGCCCACGTGCAGCACCAGCAGCACTTACGCCATCTGTCCTGCTACATAGTCACTTGCCTATTGTCTCTCCTAGACTGGAAACTGCCAGGACAGGGCCTGGGTTCTGTTCATCGGAACATCTCCAGCTCCGGGAACAGCGCTCAGCACGCGCGCAGTCAGATGTCAGATGAAAGAATGATGTTCATGCTAGTGACAGTGAGGACGAAGCTAGCCGATCGCACACACGGGCCGGGCACTGTCCTTGCTGGAACTCGCGCCATCCCCGGGGCTGTGGCAGAAGTACCGCCATTCTCCCCACATCATGGGTGGAGAAACTAAGACACAGCTGTTAGGAACTTAGCCAGGATCGTACAACAAAAAATTAAATAAGTTAACAAATTGGAAAGGGTTTGGGGATCCTTAGCTAACTCGCTCCTTTTAATTTACAGGTGGGGAAACCATGTCCAGGTGAGTTGCTAATGAGAGGACTGGCGGCTGGGCCTCCTCTGTGTACTTCCTGGGCGCCCCACCCCCCCCGCCCCAGCGGCAGAACTGCCAAAGCCCAGCTCTTCCCAGAGATATCAAACCACCCTCTCTTCACCTGCCCGGAAACCCAGGCAGCTTAGCAGAGTACCTGGCACACAATAAGCATTAAACAATGCTTTTCAAAAAATGAATGAGACATGATAGAATTTTTGGAAGCTGAAGAAGTCTCTTCTCAGATTGGTAGTAGGCTTGGCCATGCAATCAACCCCACTTTCAAAGGGCATCAGGATTTTATCTGAAATCACCTTTAAATTGGCCTCTTTAGGGGCAGCTAGTGCTGTTTGTGAACCCTCAGCTTTGGGGTAACTTCCCCAGGCAAAGAAGGTGGTTGGGCAGAGATTTCAGGGAGCAAACTTTAGAACAACAGACACTAAAATCAACTGGTCTGATTTTTTAAATAAAATTTTACAATTGTATGCCATTATCCATCCACCTTTCCCATTCCAATTCCATCTCCAGGAACAAAGATTTATGCATATTTTAATCTGACTTCACTGGACTGAAAGTGTGAGTGACAGTGGGTGTGTTGATGGACGTGAGAGAGGGTGGTGAGTGGGCGTCGACAGCTGTGCTGGTGAGAACGTGGGGAGATGGCAGTGGAGGCAGGGCTCCACCCAGCGCAGTGTGAGCGGTTCGTCCCCGCTCACCTTGACTGAATGCTTACATATGCCCATTAATAAAATGTCCTCTGTGCTCTCCACAATGTCCATCTCACATTTCCATCAAAACCACATTGAAGAAGTGTGTATGTATGCATGGTATTAAGTCATAATGTCCTAACAGTTCAACACAGAGACCCGGCCCCTTGCCACTTTTCCCAGTGTCTAGTCTCCGGGTGCATCGAACGTCTTGGTGGCCGTGGACTGAGGGCTTCAATGCAGCAGCACCTTGGGCAAGCGAGTGGCTGCTGCTGGGTGTGCCTGGCAGTCAGAGAAGTTCCTGGGGAACAGCTTCTGATTGTCAACTGTTCGCAGGACAGTATCTGAGGCTGAGCAGTGGGTGAGTTCCCGGCTTAGTCACCCCGAGGAGAGTTTGGGGATCATCACTCTGAGTATTTCTCTTTCATTACTGGGATGTGGAGGGGAAGCTTTACTGGGGACAGAATAACTCTTCTTCCCTCCTTCCCAAGTCCCGGCCTGTGGCCTCCTCTGGGACCCTGATTTCCGGACCACGCAGAAACAGCCGAGTTGCAGTGGGTGAACATGCTCATCTTGCTCTCACAAGTCTGTGCCTCAATACCTCACAAGGTTTTAACTGTGGTATTACACACTGCGGTATTTGGTTACCCGTAGGCTGAATACCTGTGTATTGTCTAGAATCAAATCTCTTAAACGGAAATATTTTCTTTGAATTCCCTCAGTTTGTTGATTTAACTCCTAGATAACAATTTTAAAGGTGGTAAAAATGTGTAACCTTCACTGATTGAGTACACTGTGGTAAAGGCTTTACGCACACTCTCTTTTCCTCTGCCTTCGTTTTATAGGTGGGGAAGCCGAGCTTCAGACAAGGGGAGGAAGGTGTCTGAGGTCACCTGGGTGCGCTGGGGTGGGAACCTGAAGCCATCCTCTTCACAGCCTGAGCCTTCCCCACGCACGGTCTGCATGGGGAGTTATTTCTGCAACACTGCGCTTTCATTTTAAGAGCAGCCTAGTCTGGGGAGCCCATAGGTTCTTTTTGTAAGAAGCAAAGTTGCCCAGAGCATCTCACTTACAGCTAAGTGGAGCGGACTCTTGGTAGCACTGGAATCTGATTCTTCAAAACCACTGTTGGTTCTTTCCAGAAGCTGTGGAGATAAAAGGAAAACAACAGCATGTAAGTGCAAACGGCAAAAGGAACCCTATTTCACGGATATTAGTGCTAGCATAAATGAGCAAGAAGGTGTCAGAAACTTACGAAACTATGCAACTTCTCAGCAATATAAGATATCTCATCCAGCATGTCAAAACAAACACGCTAAGTGAATATTTCAACTTCTAGATCATCTCAGCATTTGCTATTCAAAAAACGACTTTCATACTTCAAAAGATGCTCTGCCTCACCAATCCAGAAAAATAATTCATGCTACGTCCACTTTCATTCACCAGATGATAATGAAAAAATTACAATGTCTAGTTTATTCCATTATCAAACACACATTGACTGGAGGTAGTGCAGTAAAAGACACGACACTCCTTTTCTCGTGGAGCTTACACTGCAGAGAAGCAAAGCAGACAAATACACAAATAAAACATATCTGGTATTGATATATGCTATAATGAAAATAAAATAGTGTGATGAGATTGGAGTGGCTGGGAGGTTACTTTACAGCTGATGGTCAAGGAAGGCCTCCGAGGAGGTCATACTTCAAGTGAGACCTGACTAAAAGGAAGAATTACACCAAGTAAAGGTGTGCAGGAGAGTATTCTGGGAGGAGGGAGTAGTCAGCACAAATGCATCAGGTGGAGACGAACATGGTGAGGTCATACAACAGAAAGGACAGTGTGCCTGGCAGGTGTGGCTCAGTGGACTGAGCGCCGCCCACGGTTCCTGTTCGATTCCTGGTCAGGGCACACGCCCAGGTTGCGAGCTCCATCCCCAGGGGGGGCATGCAGGAGGTGGCCGATCGATGTTTCTCTCTCTCTCCCTTCCTCTCTCTCTAAAAAAAAATCAATAAAATGTATTTTTTTTTTTAAAAAAGAAAGGACAGTGTGAGCAGGGCATGATGTTGGTGAGGGTATTAGGAAAAAGACATTCTCAGGGAGACTTGATGGAAAAACAAATTGTTAGGACATTTCTGGGCAATTTGTGCATACCTTTGTTTGCAATGAATAATTGCACAGTGCACAGTGACGCATGTATAAGAAAACTTATTCATTCCACAAATATTTGCTAAATGATCACCAAAGTGCCCAGAGACACTGTCCCATGCACTGAAGATTCAATAATAGATATTTAAAAAATCCATTTTTCACCCTGGCCAGTTTGGCTAAGTGGTTAGAGCTCTCTTGGCCTACAGACTGAAGGGTCGCGGGTTCAATTCCCAGTCAAGGGCACATATCTGGGTTGCAGGGTTGATCCCTGGCCCAGTTTCTCTCTCTCTCTCTCTCTCTCTCTCTCTCTCTCCCTCCCTCCCTCCCTCCCTCCCTCCCTTCCACTTTATCTAAAAATTAATGGGAAAATATCCTCAGATGAGGATTTTTTAAAACTCCATTTTTTTCTCATAGGGGGGTGGGCAGATAATAAAAGAAGTTTTTAGTTAATTAGAAAGTGGTAGGTACTATAGAGAAAAATAAAACAGAGAAGGAGACTGTGGAGGGCTGGAGAGGAGGTCAGTTTGCAAGTTTAAAGAGGATGACCGGAGAAGGTCTTGCTGAGCAGGTGATGGCCCAGCAAAGTCTTGAGGATGATGGAAGAGCCGTGGATTCCTGGGAGAAGAGCATTCCAAGCAGAGGGGCCAACAACTGCCAAGTGCCTTAGGGACAGATGTGCTTACAAACATCAAGGATGCGGAAGCAAAGTGAGCAAGAACGAGAATGACAGGAAAGGAAACCAGAGAGATGGCAGCAGTGGGCGTGGGGGTATCATAGAGAGCCTTCTGGGTTGTTGTAAGAATTTTGACTTTTATCTTGAGTGAGATGGAATTGCACTGGAGTGTTCTGAGCCGAGGGGTGACATGTTCTAACATTAAGGGAGGGCACAGAGACCATTGATGAGCTGGGGCAACAGCCAAGAGTGAAATAACAGTGTCTTGGACCAGTGGGGAGCAATAGGGATGGAGAGAAGCGGCTGGACTGTGGGTATTTTGGAGAATAAACAGGATTTGCTGATGATTGAATGTGAAAGTAGGAGAAATAGATTAGTCAGAAATGACTCCTGGGATTTTGTCCTCAACAAACGGAAAGATGGAGGTTCCATGAACCGAGGTGGAGAAGACAGTCAGCGGAATAAATGTAGGGGGAAAGAGCAGATGTTCAGTTTTGGAAATGTTAAGTTTGAGATTTTTTAAAGCATCGAAAGGTACGTGTTAACCAGGCAGCTGTTGGATCCATGGGTGTGGAGTTCAGGGTACCGAAAGGTATAACATTGGATGAAATGAGCAAGGAAGCACACAGAGAAGAAAGACCGAAACCCAATATTAAGAGCTGGAGAGATGAGGAGGAACCAGCAAGAACAGACTGAGCAGGTGAAGCAGAAGGACACCGAGAGAGCACGAGGTGCTGGAAACCAAGTGAAGAAGGAGTTCCCGTGAGACTATGAGAAGCCATGTCCAAAGTCCTGACAGGTCAAGTAAATGACGTCTGAGAATTGACCCCTGGGTTTAGCAACCTGGAGGCCGTTGGGGACTCTGCTAGGAGCAGATGATCAAAACACTATTTATATGAAAATATAGAAAAAAAGTAAATAGCAATGGAGATGAATCAAATATGTTGTTGTGATATATATCACCTCCTAAGATACTTTTTCCCTTTTTATGTTGCCTTTAAGTTCTTTGCATGGTGACGCCCCCTAAAGGGCTGAAATCCAACACCCAAAGCCTGGATGTGTGGTGAATCGGGTCACATCGCATCCACTCCAGCCTGCTGACCGGTAGGCTTGGGCGGCCCTACAGTGCAGGGGCTGACAGCTAAAAGCCACAGTTTCCTAGACTCCCTCAAACTAGGGTTCCAGATGTGATTAGGTTCTTCCAGTTGGATCCACTAACCTGAAATTTTAAAGACAGAAGTGAGCAGAGGACCTCTGTGGTGTCTAATGGTAGGTACAATTGTGGAGATTTTGTCTGTCTTTTAGCTTCTTGTGTACAGGCTACAGCTTAGGGAGAGTAGAGAAGCAAGGCACAGGGATACAGGGCACCGAGCTTTTGCCAGTGTGGATCCAGCAGATGCTGGGTGGCTCCAGGGCCAATAGTAGCGGCAGGGACAAGCCTGGCCCATATGTCAGCTGGGGTGACGTGCCTATGGGGCAGCCATTCTGGTGGCCGCTTTCTGACTCCCTGTCTCCCTGATCACAGGGAAGGGGCAGCTCCCTGGCAGTCTGAGTCCATCAGCTCAGGCTCACTTCTGGGGGAACAGCCTAGAGTCTCCTTTGCTAGGCTTCCCAACACGCTTGTAAACACCTGTTTTAAAAAATCAAATCTTTTTCTGCTTAAAATAGCTGGCATGGTTTCTGTTTCCTCTGCATGAATCCTAACTGATTCAAAGAGTAATAGAGATTATTACAGAAGTTTTCTTAACAGGGATGTTGAAGGGGAGATTAGACCATTTAATACGCTAGAAAGCAAAAGTTCCTAAAATCCATGTTACCTATTTTTCTCCTGAAAAACCTCAAGGTTGTCAAGGAGCAAAACACATTTTAAAGCCATATCCGTGGAATGATACCATTTTCAAAAAAATTTTAAATTGCATTGGCATGACTATACATGCAGAAAAGGAGCCTAGAAATACAAACCCTAAAATGTTTAACCTGAAAGGGGATTGTAGATGGTTTTTCTTTTCTTTTTTTTTTTTTATCCTCACCTGAGGATATTTTTCCATTTTTTGTACAGATAGAGTGGGAGGGAGAGAGAGGAAGGGAGAGAGAGAGAGAAACATCGATGTGAAGGGAGACATCGAGTGGCTGCCACCCACACGACCAACCAGGGCCGAGGACAAACTGCAACCGAAGTACGTGCCCTTAGCGGGAACCGAACCCGGGTCTCTCCAGACCGCAGGCCGACGCTCTAACTGCTGAGCCAAACTGGCCAGGGCTATTTTCTTTTTTCTATCTTTCCTGTTTTTTTGCAGTGACTGTGTTTTCATAATCAGAAAAACATTAAAGCCCTTTTGTATTTGAAAAAAAGCTATTAACCTTTCTTTCATTTAATAAACAATATCCACAGACATCCCCCCCACCCCCCAGAGGTCCAGAACTCTTCTAATCAATACATGTAGAACAAAATGTTTGGATTCTTTATAAGATTAAATAACAGTGTGAAACTTACCATCTAAAAGCACACAATTTTGAATTTGCAAATAATACCATACAAATAACGATATCTATAAGTACGAGACATTTTGTTTGCTTTTGTTAGTGTGAGAATAGAATATGGAATTTAAACGATCTAGGGTATGTTAGAATAATGAGAATAAATTTAATTTTAACTTCAAAGCAAATAACTTTAAAACCAATCTGCCTTACATAGTGGAAATAAAAGTAGCTTTAGCTGCTTGAAAAGGCTAGAAAACAGCTGTTCTTTGCTTTGTTTTGCAACATTATCACCTGCAAGACTTCCTGGAATTGACAGTGTGTACCAACTCCAAATCCGGTCCTAGAATGAACTTTTAATCAAAGGAACAACAGAATCATTTCCACCATTATCACAAACATGAACAGAGGCAAGAAGACAATATACTGTTTATAGCCACCAATTGGGCATATTCCCAGGAGACTTATTATGGAGTACGATTTTCCACACACATACTTTGATCATACAAATAGCATGTGATGTTTTATTTCAATCACTCCCCAAACATTTGCTGAGAATCGCTGGGTAGGACTCTGGGGTAGGCATCCGGATTCAACTGTGCAGTGAACGTATATGGTCACTGACTAAACAGAAGAGCTTAGAGGCTAGTGGGGAACCCACAGAAGTGAACAGGTAATGAAAACAGGGAGGCAGGTGCTAGAATGCAAGATGCTATGGGAACACAAAGAGATACCTGACGTAACCTTGGGGGTCGAGAAGACTTCTCTGCAAAGGAAGGTCTAGCCTGAGACCTGGACAGTAGGACTCAGCCAGGCAAGGAGAAACTCTGGGCAGAAGGAAGA